AAGGTGTCCGTCAAGGCTGTCCACTTTCCCCATTTTTGTTTAACTTCATCATAGATCTACTGATGGAAATAACTTTCTCATCGACTGAGTTCTCGGGTTATTTATTTATTTATTTATTTATTTGAACACATGAATATTGGTACAAGAGAGCGCCAATATATATGCGCCACACAAAACAATGAGAATTCGAAGAGGAATAGAAAAAAAACTAAGGAGCGCAAAAGAAAAAGAGAACAATAACGAAGAGATTGGTGTAAGGTAGTGTGGTAGTAACGAGGGAACGGAAAGGTACAATCAGAAGAAATCTTTCAGGTAAGGGAGACACAACCACTTTTTATGAAGAAAGTAAAAGAAGGTTACAGCAGGATCGCCACTGGCTTCTATTCTGAGCCATATCTGATAACGTCTCTAGCCACTGTGTAGCACCATCTCTCAGACCCCAACCAGGGAGTCGTGAAGGACCAACACAAGCCAGTCCTTTGCAGCTTTCTTTCATGCCACGACACCATGTCATGCACTGACCACCTCTCCGCTTCTTCCAACCAGTCCCAGAGTCGGCAAATAATGCACGACGTGGAATTCTCTGGGACGACATTCGGAGAACATGTCCAAGCCACCGAAGTCGGTGTTTCAAGATGGTGACACCAATTGATTATCATCTCTGTGCCCGAACACACGATGCCGAACCTCTGCATTACTGACATGGTGTTGCCACTGAATGTCAGCAATCCTTCGGAGACAGCGATGATCGAACACAGAGAGTCGTCTAACGTCCTCAACTCGGAGAGGCCAGGTTTCACAAGCATAGAGCAAAACTGCTCTCACCGACGCGTTGTAGATCCGACCTTTTACAGCCAGACTAACATCACGAAGGCGCCAAAGGTGGCCCAGATTGGCATAAGCCGCTCTGGCTTTCACTATTCGTGCATTGATCTCATCACTCACACCCCCACCAGCACTTATGCAGCTACCCAGATACACGAACTTCTCGACTACGTCTATCTGCTCACCATCCAGGGTGAGTACAGGATTAGAATCCTGCCAGTCTTGTAGAAGTACTTTGCACTTCGAAGGTGCAAAGCACATACCATACCTACGGACACTGATTGCCAACTGATTAAGTGCGGATTGCATGCCTTGGGCATTATCGCACAGTAAGACAATATCGTCCGCATACTCAAGGTCGAGAAGTCTTTCTCCAGGCAACAGATCCACACCACCATTACTTACATTCATCAGAGCTGTTTCCAGAATGTCATCGATGGCAAAGTTGAAGAGGAATGGTGAGATTGGGCAACCCTGCCTAACCCCACTGCTCGAATGGAACAATGGAGAGAGGTGGTTGTATGCCCTCACTCTGCCTGAGGTGTTTTTATATAGGGCTTTTAGGATGTTAATAAACTTCTCAGGCACACCCTTCTTCAATAGACAATCCCAGAGAACAGTCCTGTCCAACGAATCGAAGGCAGCCCTGATGTCAAGAAACACTACGATTGTTGGCCTTTGATAAGTATGGCGGTGTTCTAACATTTGGCGGAGGGTGAAGATATGATCAATACATCCTCGACCAGAACGAAACCCAGCCTGCTCCTCGCGAGTCAATCTTTCTCGGGTTTTGAACAACCTACGAAGTATGACGGAAGCCAATAGCTTGGACGCAATCGGAAGTAGACTTATCCCCCGATAGTTGTTACAGGAACGACGTGAACCCTTTTTAAAGATAGGGACAACTATCGACTCATTCCATGACGTTGGTACACTCTCTAGTTCCCAAACCTTTGTAAACAACGTCGTCAATTCCTTAGTCAAAAAGTCACCACCATCTTTAAAAAGAGCCGGAGGTAAGTCATCTGGGCCAGGTGATTTGTAACGCTTCAAGAGTTGGAGTTCCTTGCGGACTTCCTCCTCGTTTGGTGGATCAGTCGTCACCGGCCATGGAGGGCAGGACAGTCTGACCGATGTTGCCGGAGCAGCAGGCCAGTTGAACTGCCCTTCGAAAAATTCTGCCCATCGTCCAAGACGTCGATGGATGTTAGTGATTGGCATCCCATCATCCTCGCAGATTGTTTCACTCACACCAGACTTCTTGCTGCCAGTGGCTCGGATGAGCTGGAAGAGCTTCCGGTAGTTACCAGATGCAGCTGCTGCTTCCAGCTCATTAGCACGCATCGACCACCAGGCTTCTCGGTCCTTACGCAAGCTTTGCCCAATTTCCTTACGTAACATCCTTCGTTTATGGTCAAACTCACGGTCACCCGGAGTAGACCGACGGGCTTCAATGAGTTGTAAGGAACCAGAAGAAACCCAGTGCTTAAAAGCGGGACGTTTCGCAAACCCACAACTGACTGTTCCCGCCATTTTCATGGCGTCATGCAATTGCAACCAATGCTCATCTATACTTTTCGGTGGAGTGGTAGCTAGCCTAGAGGCTAGCTCGGTTCGATACTTACTTGCAACAGAAGTTGCAACCAGCTTGCTAACATCAATCCGTTGATGGCGTCACTTCGTTGTCCACTGAAAAGTAAGGCAAGATTGGCGCAGACCAAGGCATGGTCAGAGTCCAGATAGGTACTCCAAAAGGAGCGGCAGTCTTGTACACAACCACGCCAGCGGTAGCTGATCGCGATGTGATCAATCTGAGTCCAGGCTTGAGATGCAGAGGGAGGACGCCAGGTGGCACATCGGCGATGACTGTGCCGAAAGTTAGTGCTAGCCAGAAACAGGTTGTGGTCTGTGCAAAGTTGCAGTAGACGGTCCCCGTTATCTGACCTGCGACCAACGAGTCCCCATCGGCCACCTAAACGACTCTCTTCTGTGCCTAGACGCCCGACCTGAGCATTCAAGTCTCCGGCTAGTACTACAATATCTGTCGAACGCACTTTCTGGAGAAGAACATAACTGGTGGTAAAACTCATCCTTGATTGCATCCGGGCTGCAATCTGTCGGGGCATAGGCGGAGATGACGAAAAGACATCGTTTCTCACGCCGATTTCTTCTCACTTTGATGGAACTTTCTAATCTAACAGCACATAACCGACTGTTAATGGGGATCCAATCGACTAGTGCTGCCTCAGCTCTAGCGCTTAGTGCGACACCAACGCCAGCAAGACCAGACGAAGATGCCACAGGGTCCCCGGATAAGCGCACGTAAAACAAGCTTTTCGAAGCGACAGATGGAGATCGAATTTGTAGTACTTCGCCAGAGTCTTGAATACGGGTCTCGGATAGACAACACACGTCGATATTAAGACTTTCCAAAGACATAGCCAGCCCTATCTGTTGTCCGACCTGCATAAATGTGCGAACGTTGAAGGCAGCCAGTTTGAATGGTGCACGTGGTTTCAGAAAATCTGCTTCAGTCCTCGTATTCGGTGGTAACATACAATTTTCAACCGGACAGTGACTCGAGAACGTTTAGATACAGTCGGATTTCCACCAAAGACGAGCCGCTGTATAAGTATAAAAGAGGGTGAATAATGTGGAAAATAATAATAATAATAATAATAATAATAATAATAATAATGACAATAATAGTTATAATAATAATAATAATATTAATAATGACAATAATTGTAATGATAATAATTTGAATCAATTGATTGTTTTTCGAAGCGAGAAAAGTAATTTCCATAGACATAAAGAGTTCATCGTTTGTGTGTGGGCTGTGATACTGCTCGGGTGCCCAAACCGAAGCAGGAGTTCTCGGGTACTGATCTCCATCCAGGAGGTCTGCTTATCGACTTAGAATACGCAGATGACATAGTCCTGTTTGGTGAAGACGCTGACAAAATGCAGAGTCTTTTGGTAGCACTAAGCAACAATGCCAAAATGTTTGGAATGCGCTTCTCTCCCTCAAAATGCAAGTTGTTGTTTCAGGACTGGTCTGCGTCAACACATGAACTAAGGATAGGGAGTGAAGTAGTCGAATGCGTCGACAACTTCACTTATCTTGGAAGTCTGATCAGCCCTGATGGGTTGGTGTCCGACGAAATCTCAGCACGGATTCGAAAAGCTCGCTTGGCTTTTGCCAACTTGCGTCAACTATGGCGAAGGTGAGATATCCGTCTATCAATAAAAGGACGAGTATACTGCGCGGCAGTCCGTTCTGTTTTAATTTACGGCTGCGAAACATGGCCATTAGGAGTAGAAGATACTCGTAAGCTACTAATATTTGACCACAGATGCCTTAGAAATATTGATGGCATCTGCTGGGATCACCGGGTAAGTAATAATGAGGTTAGACGCAGGGTATTAGGAAATGATAGTAAATCAGTTGATGAGGTTATGAATCTTCATCGACTGAGATGGTTAGGCCACGTGTTACGTATGCCTGAACACCGATTACCATAACGTGCAATGCTATTCGGTGTTGGGGATGGTTGGAAGAAAGTTAGGGGCGGTCCAACCAAAACGTGGCATCAGTCCTTGAAGTCACTAACTTCCAGTCTGAGCCATGTTGGGAGATGCAGACTACTTGGTTGGGGTCCGCGTAACTATTGTAACCAATGGTTGGAGACTCTGTGTGACATGGCTCAGAATCGATCACAATGGCGTCGGTGTATACACTCTCTCTCTTCCCTTAAACTAAGAGATTAAAATCACTTCACATCTTTCTTTCTACGAACCAATTTCTTCTTCTTGTACTATATCTCTATATGCAATCTTTCTCTTATATATTACCACCTTTGACCCAACCACTGCTATGAATCCAGTGTTCATCTTGTTGTGCTGATGCGGTATGGCAACCTGGACCGATGCACATATGTGCCTGGTCCTACGTTGTAGCTGACTGTCTGACATTCATTATAACTGACTGATTAGTAATGTTACTTGATCACTACTTGATCCCACCCGTTTCTTTTCTTATTGCTATATTATTTAATCAATTCCAATCAAAAGTCCGTTTTCATTTCTTCCTGAAAAAATCATTATTTATTAGCGTACTTGTACAATATTTATGTTTATTCATGTTAGCTCTTTTTGCTTTTAATCGTTCCCAGTGCGGTCAAACAAGCGCAATTCTTACTGGAGTGCAAATACTCAATAATTTAGTTTCGGAAATGAATCATGATTGTGAGGTAGGTTTTTGTTAAAATGTATAGAAGTATGTTTCATTGTTGTTGCATATTACTCCCTATTATATCTTACCAGTAATCAGATTCAAGTCCTCCTAGTTTCAGAGCGACCCCATCATCTTTAAATCATTGGGTCGGGATCTAGTGGTTCACAACGCCAACTTTCAATTTGTTTGTAATAAAGTATGACAGTCATCCAATGCCTCCGCATATGACTAACCACCGTCCAATCCCTGATGCAGGAAATTCTCTAACTAGGTCGAACCAATGTCTGCTTTCCAAAAGCTCTATCTCATGTCATTCTATAATGAAAACAGTTAGCAATTAACGTAGATTTTCTGCATCTATTTTCAACCTTCGGTTTGTAGATTTATCGAATATTTGGAATTTTTTCAATGATATAATGTTGTTCACAGTTGACAAGTTTTAGTTAAATATTCTGATAATGAATATGATTTGTTCCCTGCTGGTGTACTAAGCAGTTTTTTTTCACAAAAAATTTAAATCCTATGGGAAGACAACATATGTATCTGAATTCGAACTCATAAGTTTCTGTATACTTTCAAACGATGCTTTGGGAGATCAGTTTGATTAATGGATGAATTACGTGCTACTAGCTGACAAGCCCTGTTTAGCTCACTTTATTATAAATGTGACCTTTTTAACTGTGAAAATCACACGATAAGAAATGTATAGTCGTATGTTAAAACGAACATCTTAGTATCTGTCACTTTTGATCCGGAAGTCAGTCAGTCAAAACTTAGAAGCTGTACGTATGTCCATAAAGCTGTCAGATGGAATCCATGAATAGTCGAGGTAGTGTAATGAACGAAACTCAGGTGCGGACAAACAATTTATCATTTAATGCCAAATTACAGAGTTCTTTCGTAAAATGTGAAAAGCCATACATTGAATACTTCATTTGCAAATCTTCCATCGATTGTCTCGAATTTCAATGTTCCGTCATTGCTATAACGATTACTCTTTGTTTACATTCCCGTTATCTTCAATTCGGTCTTCTCAACCTTCCGCTGCCAGGTATTCCGCTTCTGAGTGGTGTTACATACTGCTCATGTTGACAGATATAAGTAGCACACATCACAGTAGCAACAGTGTCAGTGGTAAAGGAAAGACTAGGTATCGACGGTACGGCTCGCAAAAGATGTATGGATTAGTAATATTCGTAATATTAGCTTATTATCCAGTGTGATGAGTTTTCACATTGTTTTTCATATTATTTCCTTCATTATCTTTGTTTCCGCTTAACCTCCATTTACTTAGTTGTCCGTTTATTTTTATGTATAAATGTTCTTAAGAAGTATACGTGTAATCAAGTTGTTTGTAATGTACCTGCGCTAATCTATCATATAGTTTTGGTATTCTTCGTCTTCTTATTACGCTATCCAAATTTATCAAAGGGACCAATTACTATAAATAAATGAGGGAAATAAAAACCAAAAAAAGTTATGAGGAATTTAGAATCTCAGAATTTGGGAGAAGACAAAGAATGGATGCACCTGGGCAATCGCGAACGAATTTGAGCGATGTCATTCAAGGTCTCTAACCATTCGTTACGATAATCATGCCGCCCACAAACAGGTAGTCTACACGTATTAACATGGCTCAGTCCAGTTGTCAATGACTTCATGGTTTCGGTTTGAGAACCCTTAGCTGTTTTCCAGCCTACTCCTAAACCAGAAAAACATCACACATCAAGGTCGGACATACGTAACACTTCCCAACCACCACAGCTGATGAAGATTTACTAACTCTCCAATCAATTTGCCGTCCTTATATAGTACCCTATTTCTAACCTAGGCATTGCTTACTCCGTCACAAAATACACGAGCAATGTTCCGAAGACACCTACAATCGAATACTAGTAAACTTCTAGTATCCTCTATTCCTAATGAGCACGTTCCATGTTCATAAAGTAGAACGGAGACAAATGCTGCACAGTAAACCCATCTTTTGGTTTGGAGACGTATTTATCGCCTACTCCACAAGTGACACATGTTGGGAAAAGCCAATCGAGCCTTCTGAATCCGTGCTGAGATTTCGTCAGACACCAGCCAGTTAAAACTGATGAGACTCCCAAGATAAGTGTAGTGGTTGATGCGTTCAACCACTTCACCACCAGTCACTAATTCAGGCGGTAACACAAGCCAATCCCAAGGTAATATTTTACATTTAGAGGGAGAGGACTGCATCTGGAACATGCCCGCATTGTTGCTTAAGGTAGTCATAAGACTGCATTTTTTCAGCATCATCAAATAGGACCACATCGTCTGCGTATTCTAAGTCAGTAAGTGGATTTCCAGGTAGTCGATCAACCCCCTAAAAGTCAGACGACCAAAGCGTTGTCTCTAAAAGAATATGTATGAAAAACTTAGATAAAAATGAAGAAAGCGGAAAGGCCTGATAAACAGCCTTGGCTTTTTACATCCAGTAAGACCCATACAGATACGTTTTTGAGCTAGAGCATGAACTGAGTCTAATCAAGTGCTCCAGACAAGGTAAGAGTTATATCGAGCCTTTCCATCAATGGCTAGTTACAATGTGATCTATTTGAGTCCATCGATGAGTAGATTGTGGAGGTTGCCACGTCAGACGATGTTTTTCCTTATGTTCAGAGTTGATAATTACTAGGAATAGACAGTTATCCGAGCCTAATTGCAGCAGATGGTCACCCTTGTTTGTTTGCTGATCCGCAACACCATAAGATCTGTCTAAGTACCTTTCGTTTGCGTTTAGCTTACATACATGAGCATAAAACCATCTGCCACTATCACTGTACCAGAAGTTTTTGAAGGAAATTGGATAACTTCCGATAAAATTCATTTTCAACTTTGTCTGAGCTACAGTCAGTGGGAGCGTAAGCATAGACAACGAAAAGGCGACGACGCATGAGCGACTTTTTATTGAGATCTGCCTAACAGAAGCTGTTACGCTTTCGGAATTAATGCTACCCCTACTCCAGTAGGATCTCCAGATACTCGAAGGTTAAATCGTGCCAGTCCTTCATATTGACAAGGTGAGGTCAAATAAATGACTGTACTTGAATCCTTTTTGCGCGTTCCGAAGGTGCAGCATACATCGATGACGCAAGATTCTCGAGTCGTTGTCTTATCTGACACAAGATTCGGACAGTAAAAGCTCCAACATGTAGTTTAGAGCTTGGTTTCAGAAGACTAAGAATAACATTTTGTGAACTCAGACCATCAATACTGGTAGTGCATGGTAATAAAGATGTGTGAGAAGGTTTAGTCGTGTGGATGAAATAATTATTAAGAGGTGAGTGATAAATTTGGTCGTCAATAAAATGATCTCGTGTTTTGTTGAATGTATGAGGGCGATTTTCCCTTCCCGGCTGCCCATACCGTAGAAGCATATTTCTGCTTGAGAAACCTGATAAGAAGCTGAATTAGTGGTGGTCTTAGTGACGGAGGCGGAAATATGTTGGGTAAGGCGTGACATCCTCAAAGTCATCCTTTTCTAACCTGACTGGCATGGTAGGACTTAAAGAGCATACGTTCCAACCAATAGACCTCGGTTGCGTTATCGTAATTGACTTCTTCAAGGTATCATCTACGGTCGGGAACCGGAAGTAAATGAAACGTTCTTCTATGAATTATAATTCGACTTCTAGCAATAGCTGAAATAATCTGTAAAGGAACTACAAACAGCGTTTTGCAAAACTTATCCAAACTGTCACGAACTTTTATGAGAAGTTACTTACCCGCATGTTTTACTTCAAACTGTTGATACCTATCTAGGTTTTGATAATCTTGTTATCATTTCAGAGGAACGTTTTTCGAAATGTTCTAAATCAATTTTCGGAAGCACTTTCTGGTTTAAATCACGTTACTGTACTTACACTAAATAATGTTAGCTAACAATGGATCGAAAAATAGGTACATCTCAGTTGTTATCCACTCTTTATCTCGTAGTAGCTAGTTGCTTGAGTACCATTTTTGTTCTTTGTATCCTGAGAAACTGGACACCTGCACATACAGTCATTAATACAAGCGTGTCAACGTAATGATGCGCCTTTTCACTAAGGCTTTTCTCAAGCTTCATTTGATACGGTTGTCTAATTCTTGTCTCATTAGGTCAACCATGATAATTTGTATCGGTTTATCAGTGCCCTGGCTCAGTTCAATAGAGCTGTAGTGAACAAGAACACGGGTGGGGACAATCGATTGTATTTAGCACAAAAATAACAGACTATCTCAATAAAATGTGAATACCATAAAGTCAATCGTCAATTTGCAAAATATCATTCCATCATATCAAACTGTACTGTTCCCGTTGCAAACACTAATCCATTGTCGCCCATTCCATTGTACATGCGTTTTCTTACAATTCCATTGTGCTCTTGCTCTTCCTTTCTTGATCTTCGCCATCTTCTGCTGCCGGACATTACGTTCTTTTAACGCACGTTATATACTACTTATATCAGTATAAGTAGCTCACACCACAGAGCATCTAGTTTGAGTAAAAATGGTTGTGTTTTGGAATGATATTAAAACCTTCTCCATGAATCCATCTTGAAATATTTTTATTTGGTTTCATAACAGCAATAATATATCCATCCACTACCAAACAACCATCCGACTTTGAAATCCAATGTTATTTTCATGTGTATGGTTTATATTCGTAATCGGTTACATCACATCCAAAGACTTTACTTTTTCATATAATTTGATCACTTACTACACATTTAAATAATATCCTATATTTTCAATAAAACCAACAACTCTTCATAAGTTATGGTTTGCAAAGCTCTATTTACAGACTTCTATCATGTTTTACACCACCGTTCAAATATTACATTTGAACTGAAGTTGTGCACTTCAGTTAGAAATTATGCATTTAGACTATTCTTCCGTGAAATGCAACTGGGGCTCAATTTGTTGTAAAATGAAATGAACATTTCTGACAAATGTCAGGTAGTTTCGTTCAAATTGAAGCTATGGGTATTTGTAATCAAAATAAAATCCAAGTAGTATATATGCTCAGTTGCATAATGGTCGGGCTCTTCATAGGTTATATATTTTTTCCATCTCAGTTAATATATTCATATCATTTAAAGTTTTAATGATATCAAATTGACAGTAAAGCATTGCGTAACCGACAATATACTGCGGTCAAATTCAATTTGAAAGTTTTGTGCTTTCTACCCTAAAGTTCTGACAAATTATAAACGTGTTGCTTCAAACTCATTTTGTTGTGGAGTTTGTTGTAACGTGTGTGACTGCAGGTTATGCTAAGCAGCGTTTATTTATCGATCGATTACAGTAGACACGTAAACACGTAAGGACGACCTAGTGCCCTGTTTGGCCCTGCTTCGCTGTCCGTCCTAGCCCAGTTGAGTGAAGAACACAAGTCACAGCCTCTGAGTTATGAATCATTATATTTCAAACATACTTTGTTTATATACCAATCAAGCATACCACATCGTACCATAAAATAGGAAACAACATTTACAAAATATTTAACAAGTGAAATAAACATCGACCAATACGAAATGAACATTTAAGGTCCAAGGCCATCATAGACTTAACACGATAATTATTGGTATATTTTTCCGAATATCCTAACAGAGTTAAGATACTTAGCACCTTTGCAGTTATTTTAATCATTTCTATGCGAATTCCTATTCGCTAGTTTTCTAGTTTATCCGCTTAATCTCATCTTATAATATCATAATGAAATAAACATGTAGTGGTTGTAAATAACCCGAACGTTGTTGCTATCTTGGGGTGGTGGTCGGGCTTGCTTATCGTAGTGAACCGGTCGAGCTATACTGGTTGGAACGACCATTCCTCAAGGCCCTACCATACCAGACAGGTCGGTTGAAGTGCGGTAAAACTAAAAGCAACAAACCCAAGGTCTGAAGGCGAAGACGTACTGCTGACTGTACGGAGCTGTGACAGCAGTAAGGTGTTTCCTTCAGACAACCAGCATGACAGCGATGCTGCCTTCACACAAGGAGGGTGGGGTTAGAAAAGGTAGACCCTAAAAATGCACACCTCGCTTTATCCCACAGATATCCGTCTCCGGCGGTAAAGTCTCAACAAGTACGGAGCTAACACTAAAATTACTCACAGAAAGGTCATGTGTGACCAACGTCAAGCAGTTGTCCCTTGGGCACTGCGGTAACGCTCTCAGGTCACTAAGACGACCTTTAATCCAATATCCTTTTCAGGTACCTCTAGAAGAACCCTTCTACAGTGTGGGCAAGCGGAAGTGATAACCGCCGCCCTCATACCTCTAACAACACTCGAGGTTATCAACAATTAAATGAGTTCAAATGAATAGAAACTATCTTCATATCATTAATCTCAACAGAAATTATATAGTTTATAAGTGTATGCTCTTATACTAGGCTTCAGGTCACACATAATCATCAGGAGATGAAGATTAAGTAAAGCAAATGAAGATAGATTTTCAATTCACGATATATCAAGTTATCACAGACTTGTTTTTCTATCATTATTTAATCTTACTTTCTTAACATCGAAACAAACTTACACAATCACTTAATAAATGTTATGTAATAACTATTTTCTAAAGTGTTTTATACTATTCATATGCTTAATTTTAATTCATTTATTTTTAATAATTATTATATTTAGTGTGATGTTACTCGTGCAATTTTCTTACAACGTAAAAGATCTTCATCATTTCGTGATCTACTACTTTTGCCTATATTTCGACTTAGTTTGAACTTACTACGAGATGCTGATCAAAATTTAACTTCTTTAGATTTGAATAATCCTGAACAAGTAAGTAAATTGTTTTATTATACTTTTTAATTTCCTTTGAATACATGGACTTTATTTAAGCTGATGAAAAAGTATTTATTTATTTATTTTTATTTAAACACATAAACACTGGTACAAATAGATATGCGCCACATAAATCATTCGATTTGTGTGACGACTGGGATACTGCCCGGGTGCCCAAACTGGAGCAGGTGATGGATAGTTGCTAGCAGTGGGGTCCAGGATGCGCGACACCTCATCCTATTTGGGATTCGTTAGCTGAATGTACCTGCATCTCAGAGTTGATGTTTACTCTGGGACTTGAACCGGTACCGTTCGATTCAAACGCCATTGCAACTAGCTGCTGCGATAATCTTGCGGACCTCAACCATATAGTCTACACCTAACATGATTCATTTCAACAATGGAAGAAAGTTAGGAGCGGCCAAACCAAAACGTGGCATCAGTCCTTGAAGTCACTAACTTCCAGTCTGAGCCATGTTGGGAGATGCAGACTACTTGGTTGGGGTTCACGTATCTATCGTAACTAATGGTTGTAGACTCTGTGTGACATGGCTCAGAATCGATCACAATGGCGTAGGTGTGTATACACTCTCTATCTTCCCTTAAACCATGAGACTAAAATCACTTCATATCTTTCTTTCTACCAACTAATTCTTTCTCCCTGTACTATATCCTTATAAACAATATTTTATATCTTACTACCATTGAAGTAACTACTTCTATGGATTCGGTGTTCATGTTGTTGTGTTAATGAGGTATGGCAACTTGGACCGATGCATATATGTGCCTGGTCCTACGTTATAGCTGACTCAGCAGTCAGCAATCTTTTAGTTGGGTGGCGTACATTGATGGGATGAGAATCAAGGGGCTTAGCTGGTGGAGACTGTTATCTGAATAAACACAGGGCTCGGTTGTTGATAGGCCAAACATGTAGTTTGAAGTGCGATTTCAAAACATCTGTTACAGCATTCTGTGGACGTCAGTCGTTATCACAGGTAACACAAGTTGAAGAATTCAGAGATGGAAGATGAGGTTTGATAATGGAAATGGAATAAATATTGATAAATGAAGACGAGGTTGCACTATGAACAAAGTCGTTTTGAAAGGTACTTGAAGTATGAAGATAATCGTTTCTTCCTGGTTGTTCCTCACACCATAGAAGGAAACTTGTTTTGGATGAATTTTGAAAGAATGTTTGGTTGAGGCTGAACTTGGTGACCTAGGACTGTAGCTGTGTAGTACAAAGTGCAAATGCTTTAGACAAGTCACGAATGACCTTTCCTTATGTAGTTCTTAAGACACGGAAGTTAGACCTTTGACGCCAGGAAACAACTTTATTCCAGAGGACACCAGATACATATGCCCCACACAAATCTCATTTGATTTGTGTAAGGGCTGTGATACTGGCCTGGTGCCCAAACCGAGGTAGGTGGTTTTCTTAGGGTGCCATACTCGGAGTCTTCGACCTGAAGGTCTGATCCACAAGGCAGTGGAGCATCGTAGGGAGATGCATTTCCATGGTAACCGGTGACGATTGGTTCGTACGCCATTTGTTCCTTCAGGATACTGAAGCCAGCCCATATGCACCATCGGTTTGTAATCAGGGTTTTCCAACTCCCCTAGGTGGGCTCTCTGTGTTCATCAACCCGGTTAAAGCGCCGTATATTCGCTTTTCTTTTTCTCAATTTCGTAAACAACACCCGTGGTGCAAGAAGGCAGTAAGTAGGACTTCCCTGGCAGAAGCTTTATACGCGTGGCCATATGAGAGCATTTGGAGAGGGAGAGCGAACTCTCCCCACTGTCGGCCGTACCAAGGCATTTGGTGGCATATAAATAAGAAGCTTTCCGCTAATAAATTAAACAGATATTTAACTCTCTCACCTGAATGATTTTCACCCTTTTTTTACCTTAACAACACTTAAATGTTCACATCAACAGTAATGTTGTTATGATTGTTTCAATTGTTTTTTTTTCTCTTTTCTATTTTGCTTATAGCATGGATTATTTTCTCAAAGTTTACAATTAGTTCATTCTTGTCTTTCATATGATTTTATTGGAACATCTGGTAGTGTTAATAGTACAGTATGCGATGTATCTTCAAATGGTATGGATGATTTAGTTGTTGTACAGATTCCAACAAGTTGGCGACAAATTTTTCTTGATTCAGAGACTGTACCATTATTTTTTCGATTATATAAAAATTTATCACCTGATTTATCTGTTCTCGTGAGTGATTTATTTGATAACACATAGTTGGTTTCTTAATATCCTCTTTTTTCTGTGTCCAATCTTTATTTGTTATTGTTTTATTTAATTGATTAATAGTGCTTTTCAAGTTTTTCATTAAAAACCTACGAGAACTGGATGGCCGTTTCATCTTAGTATGGGATTTGTTGTTAGTGCGCATCCACTATCCCTCATGTAGAACTAAAACCCATGACCTTCGGTTTCGCGTATGAACGCTTAACCTCCAGTACAGTTAGCCGGTATTCAACAGTGTTAGCGTCTAACTTCAATCGATTCATGATCTTGCGCAACCCTTCATCCATTGTCTGAGGTGAATAGCTATCTCCACGCGACATGGATTGCACTCCACTGGTCACGGCTTCTTATTAGAATTCCAAGGAATCCATCTTAAAGCTAGTCACTAGTGAGCATATGATTGATATCAGTATGAGGAATTCAACTGTTGAAATACTACAATCTTCACAAATCCCCATACTGATAATAATTTGTAACTGGTTTTCACGTTATCAGTACTTTTTGCATTATACCATCTGGTACAATTGCGTATGAGTTCACATGTAATATGAGCATGGTGGGAGAGGAAATGAACATAATGAGTAACAATGGAGTGGAAATAATATCAATTTTAATGCAAATCTAAAAATAAAATGCAATTCGAAAGAATCAAATGAAATCGAAGTATGAGCGGTTGGAATTTACGCTGTACTTAGTATTTAAACGAATAGTAAAAATGAGTGCTACTGTTTGATAATGTCCAACTATTAATTAGCGTTATTATGCTTGCTTTAACAAGGATGGTATCTTATCAATATGGCTTTCAATAATAGTTAATGAATTCATCAATCTTTTTATGCCTAACTTCTCTCAATCATTCTCATTTCAGATAGAAATGGACGTCAGAATAGATGGCAGTTATGTAAAAATAACTGATGCCTTGATCACATCGATCGGCAAATGCTTATGATCCCATCAATCCATTGGGCATCCTTATCTGATATCCTACGCTTAGCCTTCACTTTACTAACTTGATGTTTGTTCTGTTCGTGAGTAGTGCTCTAAGTCACTATTAATTGAATCCCGCCAGCCTGTGCATATCTCCTACATTCATAGGCCATGTTCCACGGCCTTAATGCGATACACAAGGGACTGCTGTGTATCATACCCCTTGATTGCCAAACTGAAATCTAGCTTAAAAATAAGGTGTAGTCTTGTCAGTAATAATTATAATCGTGATATAATAGGCGTAACCTAGGTTTTTTGTGGAGTGAATCATTCCTAAAAAATAATTCCAAAAAATATTTATTGAGTGCATGTTGATCTACGCGGCTCCTAGCCACATTTCAGTTGTGTAAGCGTTAACAATGTTACCTGGATATCAACACTGTGAAATAGTTCGAGGGCGTTTCGAAACTGTAAGCCATAGGTTGATTAACAAGTGTTTCAACCATTAAGTCCTCTACCCTTCAAAAGTAGACTGACAGCTGTCCTTGAATCTAACTTCGTTTGGAGTCTTATTTTTAGCACTGTAGGGCGTTTTTTTGTAACTAACATATGTTAGGTTCAGGTTGTATTTGATATCCCAAAACATAACCAAAACCTTGAATAGCACTTGATAAAGAATAACAATTCTATGTAGATTTATTCCATGGATATTCGATTTCGATATGAGTGTACGTTTTACGAACAAATTTAAGTGCCTAAATGCTACCTCGTGAATGGATGTTAATACAAATTATTGGAAGAGGATATTTCTTTTCTCATGCAAATTAAGTTTCAAATATCAAGAGTAACTAGCTTGCCCTCAAGTCAAATTGTCACTCTTTTGTCAAATATCGATACATGTACTCGTCTTTGAATCATACTTTTTGTATAAAATCTATTAGGTGACCAAAACTAATGTAGCTGACACAGGATTCGAGCTTGTGATCTAATAGTTAAATATGAAATTCATCAATCACTAACCCACTACTACATAGTTCCATTTAAAACTATTCAACTGAAATAAACAGATTAAACAATCTTGTCATAACATATATTAAGTTTAAGTTCATTTTTGTATTAAAATACTGTCTCATTCTTTCAGTTTCAGTTTGGAAAGGACAGGAGGCTTGATATATATATATATATATATATATATATATATATATATATATATATATATATATATATACTTTTACCTTATCCTTTATTTAGGATTATTTTCATTACATGAAACTAGTAGATGGGACTTCCAGAAAAAAACCAATAAAATTCTTATCTAATGACAACACTACCCATTACGTTATTATATTATTATTTAAAAAAATGAACATTGGTACAAGGAGGCATCACATAAATCATTCGATTTGTGTGAGGGCTGGGACAAAGCCCAACTCCACCTGTAGCTCTCCCATAGTTACTGCCTATCCCAAGCTTGGGTAAAGGAGGAGGGTCGGGCATGGGGTTAGCGATCCGTCCTGTAGAAAACTAACCCGCTAAAAAAACGCTAACCATAAAAATTAATTCAAACCATTTAAATTAACTGGGACAATGCCCAGACCGAAGCACGTGTCACCATTGGTTTAGAATCAGGGTTTTCCAACTCTCCTAGATGGATTCTCTGTGTCCACCAACCCTGTCAACGTGCTGGACATTCGCTTTTTGTCCTGTCAATTTCTTGAACAACACCCCCCCTGCGAAAAGGCAGTAAGTAGGACTCCCCTGGTAGCAGTTTTATGCACGTGGCTATATGAGAGCATTTGGAGAGGGATAACTGACTATCTCTATTCTCGTCTGTACTATTTGGGAGTAAAAGTACCATTACGTACAATGCGATGGCTTCGTATTGGACTTTCTAACACGTTTTGACTCAATTACTTCATTGAATGTTAATTTGTGTGTATGTGTGTAGTAGTAGTTGTTGTTATAAATTGTTTAATTAATTTCGTAACATTTCTGATTACAAATAAAACTAATAAGTCACTGTCATTAATCTAATTATTAAAACATAAATGTTCCATTTAAACTCAAGATCACGTTAATTTATCAGGGATCAATAAAAACAAACAGATTTGTAAATAGTCATCCATTGGGCAATGTGGAACTCTACAAAAATGTTCTTTCTTCCAAAGTTCATATGTAATTCAATGTAATTAATTAGTAATACTAAAAATAAACAACAAAAATTTCAATCGTTGAAACCATGAGTCAATTGAAGCTAGACCATTATAGAAAACCTGGAAGCACTGGATGACTTTTCATTCTAGTATAGGACTCCTCAGCAGTGCGCATCCACGATCCCGCCCGCCCCCGCGAGATTCAAACCCAGAACCTATCAGTCTCGCACGCGAGTGCTTAACCATTAGAGCACTGAGTAGGCCGGTCGTCATTCAACGGTGTTAATGTCTAACTTCAATCAATATACGAAATTTCACCACCGTACACTATTGTCTTCAGTAAGTTGATATCTCACAATAGACCTGATTAAACTCCATTGGTAACAGGTTCTCACTAGAACTTCAGGAAATGCCCTCTTGAAGTCAGTCACTAGTGAGAAGATGAGTTTTTTCATGATTTCAACTATTGATATTTCTAAAAATCTCCACAAAACCCTTTTCTGATAAATATTTTTAAAATTAGATTTTAATTATATTTTCATGAAATTATACTAATTTATTGATAATTTGTTTATTTTTATTTACTTAGGCACTTTCTTGTTTAGTTCAAATAGCAAGTATACGTCGTTCATTATTTACAAATGCTGAAAGATCAATATTTCTTTCACAAATTGTATCTGGTTGTCGTGATATATTGTTATCTGTTAGTAATATAACACCATCATCATCAACAACAACTAATACTAATACTACTGTTATTGGTTCTCCGCATAATACACTTTCTAATACTATTACTACTACTAATAATAATAATCATAACAGTAGTATGAACAAAGAAGATTGTAATTTAATCAATAATCCAGAAGCTTATCATGAATTTTGTCTTCTTCTTTCCAGACTTAAATGTAATTATCAATTAAATGAATTAGTTACACTTGATGATTATTCTTCATTTATTGAATTACTAACTATATTCACTGTGAATAGTTTAAAAGTAAGTTAATAAATTGTAAAGACATTTCTCTCTCTCTCTCTGTTTACTTTGTACCATTTATTTATTTATTTAAACGCATAAACTTTGGTAGATAGAGGCACCGAATACATATACGCCACACAAATCATTTGGTTTGTGTGACAGCTGTGATACTTCTCGGTCCTCCAAACCGAAACAGGTGGTTTTCTTACGGGGTCACACTTTGAGCCTTTTTACTTAAAGGTCTAATCCACAAGACAGTGGAGCAACATTAGGAGATACAGTCCCATGGTAGTCAGTGACAAATAATTAGTTTATAAGCCATTCGCTTTGTCACAGGATCCTGGAGCTCATATGCACCATTGGTTTAGAATCAGCGTTTTCCAATTCCCATAGGTGGATCCTCCGCATCCATCAACCCTCTTAAAGCTCCGGACATTTGCTTTTCTTCCTGTCAATTTCTTGAACAACACCCCTGCCACGAGAAGGCAGTAAGTAGGACTTCCCTGGCAGTAGTTGTATGCACGTGTCCATATGAGAGCATTGATGGTTCTGTCTTAAAATTACTTTTGAGCAATACCCCTTAAACACAAATCGATTTTGTATGGAGGCGTAGTTTTCTTCTAACATTTCCAGTATGGGGACGAATATGCCTTGTTCCCTGCTCTTCTTGAACAAGCAATCATTTTTCCTCTATTCTTTGAACATATCCAAATGAGTAAAGAAAAAATGAACGTCAGAGGAACCGATATCTTTCGTTTACTTTTGATTGTACTTGAGATCCAAGCGGAAATGAATCCTGTTGCGCACTAAATACCCTTTTGACAGAACTATCGGCAGATATTGTAGTGTTAAATGAAAAATTAACTTTTTTAAACTTAGTGTAAAAAACAATCATATAGATGATGATTGAAAACTTTTTGATCGTTGGAGAAATAACAGAGGCGTGTATTCTGAATCAAAAGTCATCAATCGGAATCCAGTTTTCATATGGTTTGCTAATAACTCTTTTCTTATAATCTTCCTCTGGAAACTTATTAGTGTAATCGTTTACCAATATAATTGAGCCTTTAAAAATGCCACTTCTTCCCTTACGCTCTTGCATTACTATGGTAGTCCACATAGTTATACTTTCGAGCATTTCTGTTTTATGGAACTATAGTTATTTCATACTCCAATTGAATATTAAAACGAAGTAGATTTGATGTTTCTAGAGTATGTATAGATAACCATTTAGTAGTAGAAAATGAAGGAAGCATGAATAAATCTTGATTGCTAACTCAAAATGATCGTAATACCGGTTTCAAATGGAAACAACAACTGCATTCTTCATCTATCAAAATCTATTCCGCATCATCATGATTATTGAGAACTAGGATAGTGTTAGCGGGATATAGATTGGATCAAAGTATGTTCTGTGCAAGATTATATTGGATCACGTTGATTGGCCATATTTTAGACAATCAGCGTTAGCGGATAATTGGTGAAGACTATAGAATTATAAGTATACTGACATTTTTCTCATTCGGAATCTTACTCCTATTTATTTGGAATACACTTACCTTCCGATTCAACTGTGTTCTCATTTAGGACTAGTCGAGTGAAGCATAATGTACTAAAAATACTAAGCAATGAAGAGTAGCTGGGTTGTAATAAAAGAGATTACAACAGATAGCAACTTAAACTTACTACTGAATGACACAGGCTTTGATAAATAAACCTCCGGGTTTATTTCTCTTGGTATTTTAGTTGCTTGCTTTTTTTTATTTTCTTTTGCCTTTCCACTGTCTACTTCACTATTTCCATTCATTTACACCTTTCTATTGTTATTCTCCATTCAACGACGTTTATATATAAAAAAACAATTATACAACTGTTCAATGTCTTATTGTAGTGAACGAGAACTTAGATGAAGTAAACCAATTTATTGTGTACTGCAAAATTAAAAGTGGCTTGGTAAAATATGAAAACCCTACAATAAATACATCATTTGTACACCTTCCATCAGTTGTCCTGTATATACTTCATGATTCTTCCAATTCTATTATTACTGCAACTGCTTTCTGTTTTCTTCAATTCAATCCTCTTTTAACAAGCATTGCATTTCCGTTTGATGCAACATACTACTTATGTGTCAGCATAAGTAGTATGGACCACATTACGTTATTTTTGTCTGTTTTTTTCCATCCAAATAAGTATAGTGGTTCACTCAGTGATTTGTATCAGAAACTTTGATTTTTAATAAATCCTTACTAATCATTCTTTCAAAAGTAAAATACTTAAATTTGACTTACCTACCTACCTACCGTTTCTGTCTAGTTTTGTTTCCTCACAATCTTATTATTCTATATCATCCGTCTTTCCAAATATGAAAAATGTTTTTTTTTTTAAAAAAATATCAATAATAAAACTACGGTCGACTAAATAATGGAACTAAAAATTGAAGAATATTCGACGTTGAATGGTATCAATAACTTCAATCATTCAAGTTTTGCATCGGTTGAAACAAATTAATGACTTTCAATATTCTTAATTTAATTCAAAATAACATCATTCTACACAAGATTTGTAATCCTAACTAAACTCATTCTTTTATACAACAGAGAAGGTAAGTTTAAGTTAAAAGAGTGAGACTATAATTTATGGAGGACCTTTGAGCGACGCTAGAATGACCTTGAAAGTGTCCACCTTATAACCAGGACCAAATGAGTGTTATAAAGCTGTTTAAGGAATTGGATTTACGGTTTTTTCATCATGAAGTAACATCAGCTATAATCACAAAACTCTATTCATACAAATAGATAAATGAATTTCACACCAAAATTCGAGACCTTTTATTTTATACCTAATTGGGTCGTCTATCAATTATAGTCTCTCCGTCAAACGCTTATTTTAATCCAATAATAAATAAATAATTATCAGAAGGGGTTTTGTGGAGATTTTTTTTTAGAAATTTCAATCGTTGAGGTCATGAGTCAATCGAAGCTAGATCACTATAGAAAACCTGGAAGCACTGGACGGCCGTTTCGTCCTAGTATGAGACTCCTCAGCAGTGCGCACCCACGATCCCGCCCCCCACCGCGAAATTCAAACCCAGAACCTATCAGTCTCGCACGCGAGTGCTTAACCATCAGACCACTGAGTAGACCGGTCGGCATTCAACGGTGTCAATGTCTAACTTCAATCAATATACGAAATTTCACCACCGTACACTATTGTCTTCAGTAAGTTGATATCTCACAATAGACCTGATTGAACTCCATTGGTAACAGGTTCTCACTAGAACTTTAGGAAATACCCTCTTGAATTTAGTCACTAGTTAAATGTTTATTTTAATTCGATAATAAATAAATAATTCATTTTTAATTATTCTTATTTATTTATTTAATTTATAGGCATCTACAGATGAATCTAATCAAAATAGTTTACATTATTTATTAACATTATGGCAACGTTTAGTTGCTAGTATTCCATATGTTCATTCATCTGATACACATATGTTAGATACATTTACACCACAAATAATTAATGCCTATATTGAAACACGTTTAAATTCTATACCAAATTATATGAATCATACTACTATACATATTACTCGTGAATCTATACGTTCTGAAAAGAAATCAAAAGAATTTATTAATTTATCAAAATCATTTAATAATTCTACAACAAATGATACATTACACACTGATAATCATCATAATCATAATTATAATAATAATAATTGTAATTCTATAATTACTAATAATTCTAAATTAGTCAATGATTCATTATCTATAAATAATGAATGTTTACTTGATGATTGGATTACACTTTCACAACAATTAGATCAGGTAAGTGTTCAGTATCTTACTTACTTTTACTTACGCCTCTAACTTCTAATGGAGCATAGGTCACCGACCAGCATTCTCCAACCCACTCTGTCCTGGGCCTTCTTTTCTAGTTCCATCCAATTCTTGTTCATTTCTCTCATGTCTATTTCCATTTCCCGGCGTAATGTGTTCTTTGGTCTTCTTCTTTTCCTTTGGCCTTCAGGATTCCATGTGAGGGCTTGCCTTGTGGCGCAGTTGGGTGCTTTCCTCAATATGTGTCCTATCCACTTTCAGCGCTTCTTCTTGATTTCTTCCTACACTGGAATCTGGTTAGTTCTTTCCCATAGTAGGTTGTTGCCAATAGTGTCTGGCCAACGGAGTTCAGTATCTTAGTTTGTGTTATTTTCATTAAAATTAGATTCATATGAATTAAAAAGTAGGTGCAACTTGTATTAGGTCCCAATAACCATAATGAATGATAACTTTTTGGATCCTTTTTATGGACCAATACTAAAGGTATATACTTATCGTATAATTGATAAGTAACTAAACTATTCATATTCATGTTACTATTATTATCAGCTTTATTTTGACTCATAAACTATTATTATACGTTTTACCATTCTTAAGTTATACCCAGTATATTAATTATTACCTCCCTCATTCACAGCCACATCTGGCTAATTCTTGTACAAATGTTGTTTCATATTTTATTGGTACATTGTGGTCTGTCTGATTGGTATATAAACTCAGTATGTTTGAAATATGATGATTCATATCGCAAGGCCTCAGATTGTTGTTCTGGACATAGCTGGCTGGGCTAGGTGGAGAGCAGGACCACTCACAACTCTAGGCTTCTCGCACGTGTTTTACGCGTCCTTGGTCCGATCGATAATCCATTGCTCTCTAATCGGCGATCACAAGTTATAACAACTTGATAGCTGTTTCATCTTTATTTAGAACTTTAACTTGGATTGGTTGACGTTAAACATTAACACCGTTTGATGCCGGCTCAGTGATATAAAGCTTAAGCATTCGTGCGTGAGACTGATATGTCCTGGGTTCGAATCTCGCGGGGGGGATCGTGAATGCGCACTGCTAAGAAGTCCCATACTTGGATGAAACGGCCATCCAGTGCTTCCAGATTTTCCATGGTGCTCTAGCTTCAATCGAAGTGTTATAACTTTCGGGTTTGTGCCCTTGGTTCTTTGTTTTTCACCCCGCCGCCAAATGTTATAACTTGTACCTGTGTCCTATTAATATATAACCTAATGATACCGCCAATTCGAAAACAGTGTATTACCAACCGGATCAACGACTCATAAAACCCATACGAACAGTCTAGAGCCCTTATCGGTCCTACTTCCCGCCTAACCCTGCCTGTTGAGTTCAGAACACCAATCTCAGCCTCTGCGATATGAATCATTTATTTCAAAGATACTGGGTTTATATACCAACCAAACAGACCACATCACCTAGTACTAGTTATTGTTGTTGATCAAGCATTTCCAGTGTATTGTATGACACAATAAACAATGCTGTGGTTAGACACAAGGCAATAGGTGAGAATGACAAAATGTTTAATGAGGTTGTTAATCTTCATCGACTGAGGGCACATATATTACGCATGCTCGATCATCATCTACTTTGATGTCCTGTGATAGTACGAGTAGAAGTAGATTGGAGAAATGCTAAAAACTGTCCAACTAAAAGATTGTATCCATTTATTAATTAACTGACTGTTGAACTAAATTGTGTATGTAGATGTATACTACGTATTTGAGGTATGCAAGATTATCATAATCGTTTCTTGGAGACTAGTGTATAAATCGCAGTGCGCAGATTCATTTACCCTTTCTTCTCTTAAATCCTAATTATCCTAAAATTTGTTTTTTGTACCATGATTCATTATTTTCTCAAATTATTTCTCTTATATCTTATATATTCTGTTTCCACTGTTACTATTACTGGGTCTTTAACTCAGAGATATTCTTGCATTGATATGGTATCGCATCTTGGGTTGGCCCCTATATGTTCTTGGATTTACTGACGGTATCTTGTTGTCCATAATAGAAAGTTTATAGATAATTTCGCTAAGAATGGACGATAAACATGTTGAGTGTATAGTATTAAATTAATGAATCGAGATACTCAACGCGTGTGTACCGTTATATCAAGTATGCTTTACATCACTGTGTCAACCATCAGTGACTTCTAACAATCATTTTTAGTCATATGAAAATCTAGAATTCCTATATTGGTATTAGACAAATCCTTGAATCGTTCTTAGGACTATTCACTTCTCCGTTTAATTTCATGTACCAACTGAACACATAAGGTCGTATATGTTACAATAAATTCAATTGATCGTTTGGCTTTTTTTTCGTTGTTTAAATATGAATCATACGGATTTACTCTTGACGTACTTTACTTTCTTATGATGAGTTCTGTTTACCCAGTTACTCCAATTTAAAGAATAGTAGTATTTCAGTAATATAAAAATCCCACTCCAGTCTGACACTGCCTTAATTATTCATATCGATTTCAGAGTGTTTTCTCTGGCTACTTTGTGAGTCAGGAATAATCTTCTGTTCAGATTTTTTTTCGAAATTATTAGTATAAGTTTGTGGAGATTGATGAGCTTTAACTAAGATTATGAGTTGATTAATGTTAGAACGCCATTAAAACCCGGAAACACTGAATGGCCGTTTCGTCTTAGTATAGAACTCTTCAGCAGTGCTCACTCACAATCCTGTACGCTGGATTCGGGCCCAAAACCTTCAATCTCATACGCGAACGCTTAATCTCTAAATCACTGAACCAGCATCCAATAATTTTGATGTCTAACTACAATCAATCCACGATATTAAGCGACCATCTGTTGTCTTTGGTGGGTAACTACCTCACATCCAAAGTTAATGTTCTAGTCAAAACTTAGTATTCTTTGACTCAAGAAACGAATATCAACCAATATACAGTTTCATAGGTAAGTTGATATTTCATTTTTTTGTGTGTGTGTTTGATTCCCCTTTATTAAATTTTTTTAAATATTTTCTACTTTTCATATTTACAGTTTGGAACTATTGGACGTTGTGTATATGGTAAAACTTGCAATACTATTATTCTGTTATTTGATGAATATGCTAGTAGTTTAGAAAAAGCTTTCAATATTCTCACTTCTAACAATCTGTCCGTAAATGATTCTCATCTGGAACAAGTTTTACGCTTAGAAGAACATCGTCTGGCATGGCTTGTTTATATGGTTGGTAAGTACATATATGTATATCATTTCAAGTTTGTTTTCTTTTTGTTACTTCTATCCTTTTTCATATCTTCATATTGCTAACATTTCATTTCTCATTCTATTTTAACTCTATGAAATAAACATAAAAGGTGCATTAATCGGTGGTCGTGTAAATTATGCCAATGCAGATGAATGTGATGGTGAATTAGTCTGTCGTGTAATACAATTAACTCGTTTAATAACAAATTTTATCACATCAAATACTCCAACAACTCAATCACCAAGTATGATACGATTAGAGTTAGCTGTATTAAGTTTCTTTGAACAACTTCGACGAGTGTATGTTGGTGAAAATGTTGGCAGATTGTCTAAGGTAAGATTTGCCTATGTATACACTATTTTTCACTTACAGATATGCATACTTACCCATTAACCTGTATATTGAATCAGCTATATTACTACTTTATATAAATATTTCTACATAGTTTTGATATTACTTTTTAGAATGGTAAATCGTAATTACTAAAACTTTCATGCTCATTCCTATAGCTTCCTAAATAGTAAAGTGGTTTAGCTAAATAACTGGTAATTTGTTCTCATTGTCTGTATTCCATAAATATACGGTACGTTTTCTTCAACTTCGTAGAATTAAAAAAAAAAGTATTTATTTCTGTAAGCTCTGGTTTGATGATTTAGTCACTCAATTTTCATCCATTAGTTCATAGACCTGAACTGCTCAATCTAATTTAGATAAATTCTATTGTAAAAGTAAGCAATAGGTAGAAGGAATGTATTTACATAACTTTCAATAATCCATTTGTATCTTCTAATGTCTTCTGCCTTCTCATCTGATCTTCAAGTGTTCTACGGACGCTGTGCTTTCTCTGTACTGAGACTCTTCATTCTGTCTGAAAACTTCGAGGTCACGTTCCGCAACAGACTCTTGCAGTTTAACATTTTAAAGAGTAATTACATACTAACTTGATCATTTCTGTAAACTGGCAATTGTTCTATAACGATTCTAAGAAGTAATATTTACTTTTTTGTCATCCATTATCGACTTTCATGTTAATTATTGAGTTCAAAGACTACAATTATGAATATTAGTTGAATGGTGGAATCACCTAGGACAGTAATGGATTTCCTATCTACTAGCTACCGTAATACATTGTTGACTTAAATAATTGGTTCAAAGGAATTCTGCAGGATGATCAAACGAAAACAAGATATCGTTGAATAATAGTTTAAGCTAGTTTGGTAGTTTTAGACGCCTAATTTCAGACATGCAGGATAAACTTAATCTTATAGGTAAAGACATGTGCTAACATGATCATAATAATACATTTGTATTCATGATTTGTTCTACTTTAAATGATAAGTTTATCTTTATTTTATACGTTCATTCCTTAAAACTAATCGAGTCTTTTGTGAGATAGTAACTCAATGATAACAATGATGGATATGTCACTCAGTTTCGTGGATCAGTTAAAGTTAAACATTAACACCGTTAGATACCGGCTCAGTGGTCTAGAAGTTAAACGTTCGCACGCAAGACTGATAAGTTCTAGCTTCGAATCTTAAGAGGTGGGATTGTCGATGTACACAGCTGAAGAATCCCACAATAGAACGAAACGGCCATCCAGTGCTTCCAGGTTTTCCATATTGGTGGTAACTTATGATCTCATCTATTGAAATCACTATAATATCCACACAAAAAAACGCTTTCTGATATTCATATTTATATACTTATTTTTATTTATTTTTTTTATTTATCTAGTTCTATCAATGTTTATCAGATAAATTAGGTATATCAGATGAAATGATGATCCTTGATGTATTTATTAATAAAATTTTAACAAATTTAAAATATTGGAGTAATTGTGAATCAGTATTACAAAGAACATTAAATTTATTATCAGAATTATCCGTTGGTTTTAGTGCTATGCGTAAATTATTACGATTAGATAATATACAATTTATGCTTATCAATCATACAGTAAGTGTATATAATGCAAAAAAGTGTTTTTTGTTTTTTTATATCGTGTTTGTGATTTGTGCGACCGGTTAATAGATCATATGATATGATCGCTCATCTGAACACTGTGTCAAATCTATAATGTATTGAATGGTATGAGCAGTAGTCTAGCCTAGTAACTTCAATTGGTCCCTTTTTCTTGCTTAACCCCCTTCCTGTTGAGTTTAGAACATCAATCATCTGTTCTCATTATACAAATTATTTATTTCAAAACATATTTGGTTTATATATAAGTAAAAATCAGACCGCAATATTAAACCAGTCCATATACTAAAGAGGATTGATCAACTCTAATAAGCATAAATCTGTTATATTCCAGTGAAGGTCAAATTATGGGCAACTTCTGGGAACTATTTATACATTGTTATTATATACATAACTAGATTATGTATATTCATATTCCTCATATTATAAATTTCCATTTGACCTATAAACGGATTACAGTCTTTTATAATCACAACTACTTTTTGAACTGATCTTCTGTAAATATTAATTTCCTATTTGATGGTATGATTTTTATTTTATTTTATTTTAATACATAGATATAGGTATAAGGAGGCACCAAATAGATATGCGCCACACAAATCTCATTTGGTATTTGTCAGGGCTGTGATAGTGTTCGGGTGCCCAGACCGAAGTGGATGGTTTCTTAGGAGGCCACACCCCGAGCCTTTGACTTGAAGGTCTGATCCACAAGGCAGTGGGGCAACGTAAGGAGATGCAGTTCCATAGTATCCGGTGACCAACGATTGTTTCATACGCATTTTTTCTTTCAGGATACTGGAGCCCATGTGCACCATTGGTTTGGAATCAGGGTTTTCCAACTCCCCTATGTGGACTCTCTATGTCCACCAACTAGGTTATAGCGCCGTATCTTCGTTTTTCGTCCTCTGAATTTCGTAAACAACACACCCGCCACGAGAAGGCAATGAGTAGGACTTTCCTGGCCGAGGCTATATACGCGTGCCATGTTAGAGCATTTGGAGAGGGAGAGTGGACTCATCCCACTCTCGGCCGTACCAGGGCATTTGAGGGCTCATACTTGAATACACTATTCAGTTGCCAAAAACCTATATAGTTTCTGCCATTTCAATTACTTATCCACGGTTAATTATTTAACGGAATTTAGATGTTTCTTTTAGTAATCAACAGTATAGTATGAGTTATTATCATTGAGCAATTTTAATAATAAATGTAATATGATTATTATAAAAACACTCATATTTAAAAAAAATAGTTGAATTCATGAGTTAATTGGAGCTAGACTATCATGGAAAACTTGGAAACACCGTTAGATATCAGTTCAGTGGTCTAGAAATCCAATGTTCACATGCGAGGCCTATTGGTCCTAAGTTCGAATCTCGCGAGGTGTGATCTTGGATCCGCACTGCTGAAGAGTTTCATACTCGGACGAAATGGCCGTTCAATGTTTCCAGGATTTTTATGGTGATGTAGTTTCAATTGACTCATGAATTCAACCATTCAAATTAAAATAGAATATCCGTAAAAACCCTCTCTGATTATACTGTCTTTTTTTTTTTGTTTTCAAAAATAATTATTAGCCTGAATATTTTCCTTTTCTATCATCCAATACAACAATTGAACTATCTCAATTATCAACAATTTCACGATTACGTACAACATTTTATGCTTCAATTTCACGTTTATTAATGGTTGAATTAGGTGAAGATGATGAAAATTTCTAAATTTTGTATCTCCATTAACAAGAGTTACAAATCAATTAATTATAGCATTATTATTTGGAGGTTAGTAATCTTTGATTGAATTAAATATATCTTTACATGGTAGTTAAGTGAATAACACAATGGTGTATGAAGTAAATGGTATCAACTCAAGGATTCAAGAGTACATCTAGTTGACTACTCTCCATTAATATATATATATATATATAAGAATATCTCTATTAACCATTTGTTTAGAGGAGTTACTGATTCACTAATTTGTAATTCAGTCAATTTTTGATTGTATTATTGGCTTCTTGATTAGATATTTTGATTATGATTTTATGAGTAAGTTGATTAAATATGAGGATTGGAAAAAATACAAGCCCTCAATAATAATAATATCACACTCCTTGAACAAGTCAGTATCTATTATGACTTAGTCACATTATAATGAATAGCATAGTCATATTTGTAACCATTGGTGAACATCAACTGTTAGAGCAGGTCAGTCAGCTACAACGTAGGACCTCACTATTACTAACCCGGTGATCCCAGCAGATGTGAGCAATATTCCTAAGGCATTTGTGGTCAAATACTAGTAGCTTACGAGTATCTTCAACTCTTAATGGCCACGATTCGCAGCCGTAAAGTAAAACAGAACGAACTGCCGCGCAGTATACTCGTCCTTTTATTGATAGACGGATATCTCGCCTTCACCATAGGTGACTTAAGTTGGCGAAAGCCAAACGAGCTTTTCGGATCCGTGCTGAGATTTTGTCAGACACCAACCCATTAGGGCTGATCAGACTTCCGAGATAAGTGAAGTTGTCGACGCGTTCGACTACTTCACTCCCTATCCTTAGTTCATGTGTTGACGCAGACCAGTCCTGAAACAACAACTTGCATTTAGAGAGGGAGAAGCGCATCCCAAACCTTCTGGCATTGTTTCTTAGTGCTACCAGAAGACTCTGCATTTTGTCAGCGTCTTCACCAAACAGGACCATGTCATCTGCGTATTCTAAGTCGATAAGTGGACCTCCTGGAAGGAGATCAATACCCAAGAATTCAGTAGATGAGAATGTTATTTCCATTAGTAGGTCTATGATGAAGTTTTGCAAAGAAATTGGAGAAAGTTAGAGGAGGTATTCTGAAATTATTATTATTATTGTTATTTAAACATAAACATTTGTACAAGTAGATACCAAATATATATATGCGCCACACTTCGTCATTCGATTCATGTGAAGGCTGGAATATTGTCCGTTTACTCAAACCGAAGCAAGAATATTCTTAAATCTATTACTAGGTACCATTTAAAAATTTACTTAATTTATTCTTCGAAAATAACTAGGAGAATTGAATAGCTCCTTTTTATTTTATAAATCTTATCAATTGTATATTACCTTTATTGAAAACATCATATTTACCATAACTCATAATCATTCAATATACAATTCTCTGTTAATTTACAAAGAAAAAAAATCTATGCTTTCAAGTTTCACATCATCAACTGACTCTTATTAGATAAATATTGACAAACCAGAAAACAATGAATATCAATAACCGTCTACTTTCAATGTTAAGATTATTCAAGAGTTGCTCATCTATAATACACTTTACTAAACTATCAAATTGTTGAAGCTTCAGATGTCACATTAAGTAAGCGCTAAACAATAAATCCTCTATAAATAAACAGAATAGATTTCTAGATATCCCTTAGTTATATATAATATACTCTTGTGGGTCAGGGTAATTTTACATTGGTTTTCAGGAGAACCAGGCAACATCCAGACTTTCATGAGACAACCCAAACAGTACAGCTCAGTCCCGTTTAAAAGGAGAGCCAGACACCTCCTATGCTTAAATTTTGTAACCCAAGCAGTACAGTCCAATCCAGATTCACAGGACAACCAGACACACCATATAAGCTTTAACGCTACAATCTGAATAGTACAGCTCAAACCTGTGGCGCAACCACACAGTTACCAAACACCCTGGTGGACCATTCATATACACATTCACGTCATATGTATAATTATTCCGATCAATGGTCGCGTGAATCAGTTATGCACAGCACGAACAGGCCAAAGTTGACCTATTCCGCTTACACGACAGTCAAACTCATTAATGTTAGCAATGGCGACAAGTATCACAATGTCCCAATGGCAATGGCTCTTGAGAACACTAAAAAGCAACCACCAATATGAATGAAATTGGTTAACCAGCAGATGTGCCAAAGTAATGCCGAACCATCCACAATATCAATGGTGAACCTACTGTCTCATATGTGACCTTCACTTCTAGATAGCAATATAGTTTATACTGCATACAACACATATGTAGGATAGTAAATGAAATAGCGCAGACTGAAGCGTTAGGGCTTAAAGAACGCTTAAAACGCATTGTCTGGTATCGAAATACAGGATCAAGATCGAATTTGTGAAATTTTCATTTTTCCGAATTTCAGACCCTACCTAAATTAAGGGTAGTATATCCCTATGTACAAGTATAAAAATGAGATTTTCTAACATTTCATAACTCAAATTCACTTGGTAATGTTTGGCTTGTATCTTCCCATTAAGGTTTAAGACTGCAATTGATCAGTCTGTTATTGACATATGTGCATACTGTGCGTATGCCTCGATATTACCTTAATTCACAAGCTTTTTGTAAGCAATGATGGATAGTGGCTAGCAGTGGAATCCAAGACGCGTGTTTCCTCCTATTTGGGATTCATCGACTGGGTGTATCTACATCTCAGAGTTGATATTCACTCTGGGACTTGATTCCAGTACCGTTCGCTTCAAACGCTATCGCGTTATCCACTCAGCTACTGAGTCCTGGTAGCCACTTGCTTGTGCAATAGGACGAATTTAAATTCACTTAGTATTGTTTTAAGCGAATGGTACTGGGTTTAATTCTCAGAGTGAACATCAACTCTGAGATGCAGGAACATCCAGCTGACGAGTCCCAAATAGGACGAAATGACGCACTTCCTATATTCCACTGCTAACCACTATCTATCATTGCTTACAAATTTCATAACTCAGTCTAAGTCACTTCTTCAGAGTAAATAAATATCCTTTAATTTTTATTTATTTATTTACTTTCAATTATTATAATTGTTCGGCTTTTTTTATATTGTCTCTTCTTTTTTTTTCTCTCTTCACCAATTCTATATAAGATTCATCTAATTTCAATGAAAAATTAATGAAAATCTCAATTATTGGTTTAGCCCGAGATATACGTGGTATATTATATAGTTTAAATAATAAAGCATCATATCAAATGTTAATGAATTGGATTTATCCAAATGGTTTATTATTATTTAATCGTGTATTAGAACTATGGCCATATGATTATACAATAACAATACCAATATTAAAAACAATTACAGAATTAATTAATAATCGTAATGGACGTTTATTATATGATATCACTATACCAACTGGTTTTTATTGTTTACATATGTTAGTAAACTTTTATGTAATTTTGGTATGTTATTTGTAATGATTTTCTTTTTTGTTTGTCTGTTTATTTATTTATTTATTATCAGTTTAGATGTTGTGGAGACTGTTAACTTTTTGATTGAAATCATGAGTCAATTGAAGCTAGACCACCATGGAAAAACCTGAAAGCACTGGACGACCGTTTCGTCTTAGTATGAGATTCCTCAGCAGTGTGGATCCACGATTCCGCACCCATTGCGAGATTCGAACCCAGGACCTATCAGTCTCGCATGCGAGTGCTTAACCATTAGACCACTGCGTCGGCCGGCCGGCATTCAACGGTGTTAATGTCTAACCTCAACCAATCAACGAAATTGCGTGACCATCTTCTATTGTACTGAAGTAGACACCTGTTTTTATCTGACACGGATTAGCTCCGCTGATCACCGCTTCTCAACAGAACTCCAAGAATTTTCTCACGAAGCTAGAGGATTGGTTGAGTTTAGACATTAACATTATTGGATGCCGACCGGCTCAGTGGTCTAGCTGGTTATGCGCCTGGCGCGAGACTGATAGGTCCTGGGTTCGAATCTCGTGGATGCGCACTGCTAAGGAGTTCCATATTAGGATGAAACGGCCGTTCGGTGCTTACAGGTTTTCCATGGTGGTCTAGCTTCAATTGACTCATGATTTCAATCAAACAATATTTAATTATTGTTATTACTTTTCCTTTTCTTTTCAATTGTAATATGATTTTACACAACGATAAATGACAGCAGTGATAAGTACTAAATTCATTGTGTATTGTTTTGCTTGAATCTTCCCATTGATGCTTAGGATTACAATTGATCAGTCTCTTGTTGGTATATGTACATCCTGTGTATATTGCCTCGATATCGCCTCAATTCACAAGGATTATAAAAAAGATAAATGATGGCTAGCAATAGAATCCAGGATGCGCATTTGGTTCTATTTGGGACTTGTCTGATGGATATAACATGCATTATAGAATTGATGTTCACTCTAGGACTGGAATCCACTACCGTCCATTTTTGCTTATAATACTTGTGAATTAAAGCAATTCGCATAGGATGCATATATATGCCAATAAAAAGACTGATCAGTTGCAGTGCTAAATATCAATGGGAAGATTCAAATAAACAATACAAACTGAATTTAAACTTCACCCTGTTTCACAAGCTGGTGACTATCAGGACTCAGTAGCTAGGTGGATAATGCGATGGCGTTTGAAGCGAGTAGTTATGGGTTCGAGTCCCAAACTCAACATCAACTTTGTTATGCCTATGTATATCCATCCGAGACGAGAAGCGCGTCCTGGATTCCACTGTTAGCTACCATCCATCTTTGCTTATATCAGTTATAGGTGTGTGTTTTTTATATCTAGATTTTTATTTAGTCTTATCTTCAGAGTTGCCTTACCCTGTAAAAGGTTTTAAAAAATATACATGAATAAATGAGACTCTATCAGATGTTTGAAAACAGCAGTGAAATGACCATGGGAACAAAAATTATTCAATGATTAATTAGTTTAAAATAAACTGTACATATATATATTAAACACAACTGTCTATTAAACAGAGAATGGGATACAACAATTCACATTATCATGATTTTATTTGGTTTTATATATGAAAATGTTACATAAATCATTATCGTTTAAAGTAACTTATTAGTTACTTCATTGTTTTATCAAGATACCGGATAATGTTAATGTAGTTGTCGATTCCAATCCCGTAGTGGTAGAGGTAGTGAGAGTATAAGCAGTAATCGGAAAGGTTAGGGTTTGAAGATGTTATTCAAGGAGTATAATCTAGTGAAATAAATTTTAAAGGAGAAAAAAAGGGACGTGAAGAATTTGTGCGAACACAAAGAGTGAATGCACCTGCGCCATTGCAAACGATTTTGAGCCATGTCATTCGGGGTCTCTAACCATCGGTTGCTATCGTCTCGCAGATCCCAACCAGGTAGTCTACACCTACCAACATGACTCAGTCCACTTATCAATGAATTCATGGATTTGTGTCATGTTTTGGTTTGGCGGCCCCTACCTTTCTTCATCCTACCCTTATACCATTGAACATCACACCTCAGGGCAGTCGGTGGTGAGGCATATGTAACACATGTCCCATCCATCTCAACTGATGAAGCTTCACTACTTCATCAATTAATTTGTCATCCTTATCTAGTACCCGTTTCCTAACTACTATGTTACTTACTCGATGGTCCCAGGATAAACGAGCAACGTTTCGAAGACACCTATGATCTAATACTAGTAACCTACGAATATCTTCTCTTACCGGTCATGTTTCACTGCCATAAAGTACAACGGAATGAACTTCATTATCTACATAATCCTTTCTAAATACAGTAAACAGAGAAATGTCATAATTATTACCATTAGACGTTTATAAAGACTATTCATTTGAAGGATAATGAATATCATCAAATGAATAGTTAATTTGTTCTAATATAGGATTCTTGTACAATACAATGAAAATGTTACCTGTTGACTTCTGATTTCCGACAGTGTTCATCGATAAACACCACTGATGACAAATATCATATTTAGACTAAATCACAACTTGTTTAGATAAAATCACTCCTGCAGCAATTTGGAAGACTCTCCCGGTCCCCCGCATTGCACGAGCATTCGACGTACCTTAAATTAAATGGTTAATCTGGTTGTTAGAAGGGGTATCAGCTGGTGACTTCCGAAGGAACTCAGCTTTCATCATGAAGCGTCATAACTCTTCTAAATGAAGACCTTCTGACTCCCAGGTCAGATTTTAAATCGTTTGAATAATTTTCTCTGGTTAGCGTTTTTTTTAGCGAGTTAGTTTTCTACGGGATAGAGTCGCTAACCTCATGCCTAACCCTCCCCCTTTATCCGGACTTGGGATCGGCAGTAACTCCCGGAGGGCCTCCAGCTTTTAGACTTCAAGTATTATCCAATTATTTTAAATTTAAAGTAAACTTTGCTTTGTTTTTTCTTTATTTTATTCTCAATTTTTATAAAAGGTCTTCAATTACTCTCTAATCCATGTCAAATCCCAAAAAATTCATTATATCAAATTAAATTAAAACCAATTATGACATCATTGAATTTATTAAAAATATGTCTTTCTGGTAATTTGGTTAATTTTGGTGTATTCAGTATGTTTCATGATGATTCATTGGAAAGAGTAATGGAAATGAGTATTCAATTATTATTATCATTAAGTAATACTGAATTACATGTAAGATTCTGTTATTGTTATGGTGTGTGTGTGTGTGCGTTTATTTCAATGTTTCAATATATCATGTTTCATGAGTAAATAGTTCATATTTAGATTAATTAGCCCGGCTAGCTCAGTCGGTAGAACATGAGACTCTTAATCTCGTCCCCAAATGCCCTGGTATAACCGAGAGTGGGGTGGGCCCGTCCTCCCTCTCGAAATGCTCTCACACGGCCACGCGTATACAGCCTCTGCTAGGGAAGTCCTACTCACTACCTTCTCGTGGCGGGGTGTTGTTTACGAAAAATGAGAGGACGAAAGGCGAATATACGGCGCTTTAACCGGATTCCAAACCAATGGTGCACATGGGCTCCAGTATCCTGCGGGAAAAAATGGCGTATGAACCAATCGTTGGTCACCGGCTACCATAGGACTTCATCTCCTTACGATGCTCCACTTCCTTGTGGATCAGACCTTTAAGTCAAAGGCTCGGGGTGTGGCCCCCTAAGAAAACCATCCGCTTCGGTCTGTGCACTCGGAGAGTATCACAGCCCTCACACATATCGAACGAGATTTGTGTAGTGCATATGTATTTGGTGCCTCCTTGTATCAATGTTTATGTGTTTAAATAAAATAAATAAGATTATTAATTATAATCTCTACTGGATATTATACATTCACTCAATTCTAATTTCATAAGTAAAACAACAAATAAGCTAATCAGTAAGACACCCTCTGTATGACTCTTTATGACTAATTATATTGAAACTATTGAACATTTTTTCCCACTTTGTTTGATATATTTCGCTACATATAGCCTCATCATTTTATCAGTCTCTTCGACAAAATTTAACTATTACTTACTTACTTACTTATGCCTGTTACCCTCAACGGAGCGTAGGTCGCCGACTAGTATTCTCCAACTCACTTTGTCCTGGGTCTTCCTTCCTAGTTCTATCCAATTCTTGTTCATGCTTCTCATATCTGTCTCTGTTTCTCGGTGTAATTTATTATTTGGTCTTTCTCTTGTCTTTTAACTTTAAGGATTCTATGTGAGGGCTTACCTTGTGACGCAGTTGGGTGCTTTCCTCAATGTGTGTCCTGTCCATTTCCAACACTTCTTGATTTCTTCCTCCATTGGAATCTGGTTTGTTCTCTCCACAGTAGGTTGTTGCTGATAGTATCTGTCTAACGGATCCGAAGTATTTTGCGTAGACAACTGTTAATTAATAAACACTTGTATCTTCTGGATGATGGCTTCCGTAGTTCTGCAGGTTTCCGTCCCATACAATAAAACTGTCTTGACATTTGTATTGGAAATTCAGACTTTGGTGTTGGTTGACAGTTGTTCTGAGTTCCAGATGTTCTTCAATCGTAGTATATGCTTGCTCTAACTATTAACTAAATCTTAATACCAAAGTTATTCTAGTCTAAAATTATTATTTCAAGCATATCTATGTAGAGATAGTTTTTATTAGTATTTCCACTTTTAGCTCTACATGATTGCTTTACTTACTTACGCGTGTTACCTCTCGTGGATCATGTGACTCCCACCAGGGTTCTCCAAACTACTCTGTCCCGGACTCTCCTTTCTACTTGTTCCCGACTGTTATTCATTCTCTTGGTATTTGCCTCCAATTCACAGAGCAATATGTGTTATGGTTTTTCTCTTCTTTTATCTTGAGGATTCTAAGTTAGGACTTGTTTTGCGTCTTTTCTTTTTCTCTTTAGCTGAAAGTTGGTTTGTTCTCTCCCACAATAGGTTGTTCCTGATGATATTAGACAAACAGATATAGAATATCTTTTGTAGATATGATAAATTATTATAAATGTAGCTCACTAGATTTTATTTGTTTCATTAACATGTTAATTCCTGGATGATTTATCAGCGCTATAATATAATTATTTCAAAATAGTGAAATATTCATCTTTGTAGATTAAAAGTTCAGAGTTTTTTTCTCAATTGAAGTTTTGTCAGTCAGTCAGTCAGCTACAACGTAGGACCAGGCACATATATGCATCGGTCTAAGTTGTCATAATTGAAGTTTTGAGTAACTTGCAATTTATAAAAGTATCAGACAACTGTCCAATACTTATTGATACATGATTTCACGATGAGACTAATTTATGGATGAGCTAATCAGAAGCGTTAGAGGGATTTCAAGATCACGGAACCAATTTCAGTACCTGATGCTCACGTACGATCGGTTTACAGAAGATTTTAGAGAAGACTTGATAATTGAGCGACCTCAACAGATGGGACTACGAAGAAGTTCCTTTATTTGTGACTGCAGTACCGTGTTCAGACTATTGTGATGACATTGTGTTTCGATGTTCTTTATTTTGGAGAAAGAAGTCTGCTCGAACGGGTACTTTCTTCGCTCGATCACGATTGAGACTGAGATAAATCATGATAATTGTCGCAAATCGGATAATAAAAGCACCAGTAACACTGGTTGCAGCATTTGCAGACGTTACTGAGACTTCAGCTGTCTGATGGTATGATTATTGGTGTGATATATGTGCAAATAAAATGATACGTTTACACGAGTCTTACGGAGGAGTTGGGAATATTGTCGAAATAGAGAAACAGCAGTACGGAAACGGAAATATAACAGAGGACGTAATATTAAGGAAGACTGGGTAAGTAGCACTTCTGTAAATATACCTCGGGTACTTGGAACTTATGATCGATCAACACAAAAGGGACATTTTCAAAGGGTCAGAAACCGGCAAACAAGCACAATAATACCAATTATACAGGAATATGTGCAGCCGGGCACTACGATATATACAAATGATTGCAGAGTGTATAGATACTACATAGACTTGGGTATGTGCATCATGTCGTAGTGCACAAGCGCTATTTTGTCGACTCTACAACCGGCGTTCAGATTAATAATATTGAAATCATGTGGTCCAGACTAAAGGGTTTTTTAAGACCGTATCACAGCTTCAGAGGTCGACTATTATGGAGCCATATGGATGAGTTTCTATACCGTATGCACTATGATTTCAGAACCTCTGAACCTCTATCAAACCTTAATAAGTTTTTGAATCATGTAAAAGAAGAATATCCACTTTAATTCTTTAGCTTTTTATAATACTTTCATTTTATACTAACTGTCTTCTGATGGCTAATAATTATCAAGTTCACTTAAGATTCGTTCAAAGGTCGTCCATAAATTAGAGTCTCGCCCTTGTTTCATCTAGTTTGGGACTTTTCAGCTAGATATTTCAACTCATCTATTCTAATAACTTATAGCCTAATGGTTATAGTAAAACAATCTTTACATGATACAGGTATACGGTTAATGATGGACAACTAAATTTTCAACCCTGAATATCAACAACAGAATAATTACAAACCTTTACTAATCATAACATAAATACTTTGTTATATCATTATTTCATTCTTTTTACATAATATATTGTTTTACTATTCCCTTTTTTTTTCTTTTAAAGGATCATCCAAAATTAGCATTGTGTCATTTGGATTATTGGAACATATGCTCAATGAACATATTATCTTTGTTGCTTCATTGGGTACACCAATTTTATTGCATTTTTTAGAAACTATAGCGAATAATATAATTTCATTAGGTGGGTAAGCTATGTGTACTATGTTTCTCCTCTTAATTATTATTGATCTATATAAAATGTATGTGATATTTAATATTGTATTTTCAATATTGATATCGTCAGTTTGTTCATGTTTTTCCCACTTGTCTGTATCATGGGTTAAATGTAAGGCAGGTGTCTTTTGGTTGTATTCATTATGAAAAACATTGCAAAACAGCAAATAAAGAAGTACTCATGTCAGGTTTAAAGTTTTGGGCACTTGATGAGGTAATAAATTCCTATCAATTAATTTGTTTGGATTACCTTGAAATCATGAACCGATCTATGTTAGACCACATTGAAAACTGGAAACACTAGACTGCCATTTTATCATATTATATGTGACTCCTCAACAGTGCACATCCACGATCCCACAAATGGCAGTTGAATTCAGTACCTTCGGTCTCGATTGTGAACGCTTAACCTCTAGGCCACTTATCCAGCATACAGCGATGTTAATGTTTAACTTTAATCAATCCACGATATTGCGCGACCACCTATTGTCTTCGGTGAGTAGCTGCCTCAAATCTGACATAATTGAACTCCACATGTCACTGCTTCTCACTAGAATTCCAATTCATAATTTCTATGAAATCCAATAATTTCCACAACCACATACTGATAATTATCATGGGTTCACTATTTACTAGCATCGGGGGAAATTTCTAGTTACGGTATGGATTGATTGAACTTAGACATTAACAACATTGTATGCTAGATCAGTTGTCTAGATATCGAACGTCCATGATCGATGTCGAAGGTACTGGGTCCGAACCCCCTTGATGGGGTGTTGTGGATGCCTACAGTTGAGAAGTCCCATATTAGAACAAAACGGTTATCTTTTGCTTAAAGTGGTGGTCCAACTTAGATCGGTTGGTGGTTTCAATGAAATTAAACCATCTCCACAAACCCATACTAACAATTGGGTTGGGTTGTTTTTTTTATCAACATCATCCTACATAACAATGGGAGGATACCAGTAAAACGACACCAAGTGAATTTAAAGCTCACCCGATTGCACAAGCAGGTATCTATCAGGACTCAGTAGGTAAGTGGATAACGCGATATCGTTTGAAGCGAACGGTACTGTGTTCGATTCCCAGAGTGAACATCAACTTTGGGATGCAGGTACATCCAGCTGACGAGTCCCAAATAGGACGAAGTGACGCGCATCCTGGATTCTACTGCTAGCAACTATCCATCTTTGCTTATAATGCCTGTGAATTAAGGCAATATCGATGCAATACGCACATGATGCACATCTGCCAACAAGTGACTGATCAATTTCAGTCCTAAATAACATTGGGAAGATACAAGTAGAAACAATAAATGTGAATTTCAACTCATCACTTGGTTTAATATTCATCTTTACTTGAAGTAAATCATCATAAATTCATTCAATTTAATAGCGAAATTCAAATTTATCTACTTAGATTTTAGTCAATATTTGTGTGATAAACATGATGTCCATAATTCTTACATATCTAGAATACTTTAATAATAATTACATTTACTGAAGGCATTACATTAAGTGAAACACAATTTATTGTCAACATGATCATTTCAAAGCTATAGATATACATATTGGATCATTACATAAAGTATACTTTGTATTGAAAACAATTAGTCGTGAATTATCTGCACTGCTGAGGAGTTCTATACTGTGATGAAATGGTCGTTCAATGCTTCCAGGTTTTCATTAGTGGTCTAGCTAAGATTAACTCGTGATTTAAACAGAAAATATTTGCTTATTCAGTGTTCCCATTTATAACAATTAGTCCCTTGGATAAATTTCAATAATGCAATGAGAGGACGAAGTTTATTAGAATTATGTAATATATTTGCGCAATACATTTCGAACAATCTGATCACATATAATATACGTGTTAAGAACATTTATATATTTCACTGATAGAAATCATGAGTCAATTGAAGCTAGACCGCCATGGAAAACCTGGGAGCACTGGACGGCCGTTTCGTCCTAGTGTGGGACTTCTCAGTAGTGCGCATCCACGATCCCGCACCCCGCGAGATTCGAACCCAGGACCTATCACTCTCGCACCAGGCACTTAACCAACTAGACCACTGAGCCGGCCGGCATCCAACGGTGTTAATGTCTAACTTCAACTAATCCACGAAATTGAGCGACACATCCACCATTGTCATCAGTGAGTTACTACCTCACAACTGACCCGGTTGAACTCCACTGGTCACTGCTTGTCATTAGAACTCCAGGAGTATATATGAAAATTAGAAAGGTCAACTAGACAGGTTAAAGGTAAGCCATAACAAAGAAAACAAAATAATATTAAAGTACAAAAAAACAAATGTGATTACCACTCTGGATAATAAATCAGTATTACCAGGGTAGGTTAAGTGTACGGATAAATTGTTTGTTTTTTTTGGAACACATAAAGAGGGTTTCCATTTCCGTATAGCCAATGCTTCAATAAACCATAGTATACGTCTTTGAAGACTTTTGTACAATACTACAATTGTTGACTTGATGTCAATCTTATAACCAGTCTTTGTATTATTTTTCTTTCTCTAGATTCTGGTATCAGTGAAGTTTGTTGTGTATGTTTAGATTATTTTTCAACTCACCTATTTAAAATTGTCCAACGTGAACAACGTTCAAATCGTACAACTGATGGTAATAACTATAATAATAATTCATTATATCTAATTGATGTAAGCAATTCGAATTTAGTGAATGGAGACAATCATAATAACAGTAATGATAATAATAATAATAATAATAATACTAGTCATTTATTCGTACCACATATAGTATTAGATCAAGGTGGTGCATCCAATCATGCTGTATGGTCTACACGTACTACATCAGCAACATCAAATCTATTGAATTTATTAATGCCAACAACATCAAATTCACAAAATGTAGAAATGATTTCAGGTGTAAATCTACTTCGACGTATACTTATTACATTACTTAGTTCAGTAATACAAGAAGAATGTCGTTGTCAATGGTCTATGTCTAGACCATTATTACCTTTAATTTTATTAAATCAACAAGTATGTAATCGTTTATTGAATAATTTAATTCTTGATCTATTTTCTTTTCTTCTATTTATTAATTGTTGTTGTGATTATTTTTTGTTTGTAACCAATAGATCTTTACAATTCCATTTTACAGATTGAAATCATGAATCAATTGAAATTAGACCATCATGGAAAACCTGGATCGTGAATGTGCACTGCTGAGGAGTCTCATACTAGGACGAAACGGCCGTCCAGTGCTTCCAGGTTTCCCATGGTGGTCTAGCTTCAATTGACTCATGATTTCAACCAAAGAAGTTTCTGAAAATCTCCAAAAACTCCTTCTGATAATAATCATCTGCTCACTAGTGACTGACTTCAAAAGATACTCCTGGAGTTCTAGTGAGAAGCTGTTACTAGTGGAGTTCAACCCCTTCTGATAATTCCATTTTAGTGAATAAAGTTGAGACACATTATCCTTAGACTATATCATTCATGCTTGTACACAACTAAGGAGATGATATGTCTCTTAGATAGCAAAATAAATAAGTTTCATAGTTATTCGTCAATCGATATGATATTTTCCAATAGTGTTTAATTTAAAGTATATGTAGTCAAATCTTACTTACTTACGCCTGTTACCCCCAATAGAGCATAGGCCGTCGACCAACATTCTCCAACCCACTCTGTTCTGGGCTTTCCTTTCCAGTTCTGTCCAATTTTTGTCTATTTTTCTCATGTCTTTCTCCATTTCTCGGCGAAATGTATTCATTGGTCATGCAGTCGAATCAATGAGGTGAAAAGAAAAGTTATGGTACAAATATCAAAATTTTTAAGAAATAATGTTAAGAGTGAAATAATGTTCGACTACTCTTGAACACTGATGAGACGCTTGTTTGCTTAGAATGAACAATGAAGGATTTTACTTTTTGTACGTTTTACGTGCTTTAAACTAAATAACCATTGAGGAACTAATCTACCATGAGTTAACGTAACTCAAATCAAGAACGCATAATTCGCCTGATTAGATGTGACAGGCGGTGTTTGGAAAATGATACTGACACATGGTGTGTTATGCACTAACCCCCCCCCCAACTGGCTACTTGAGCGACAATATAATGGTGAACTAGAAAGTATATTGGGCTACCGAGTAAAATGCACAAATACTCATTTTTATATATACCACTCTCAACCCTAGGAAATTGATCCATTTCTTAACCAATAAATTGCACTTGTCCTCTAGTTCATTTCTGATTGCCACCAATTGACCTTCTCATTAGGCTACTTCTGATTAACTTACCATATCACGTGGATTAATCAACAATCCAGTAAATGCAAAAAATAGGAATATAAGACATATCAGGTACCTATCAGATTATCTACTACCCAGTCCTTATTTATTTGTTTGAACACGTAAGCATTGGTACAAGGGGGCACAAAATACATATGCACCACTCAATAACAATGAGACCAGTAACAGTTATCATTATTTTGTGTAAGGGCTAGGATACTGCCCGGGTGCCCAGACCAAAGCAGGTGGTTTCCTTATGTGGCCACGCCCAGAGACTTTGACCGAAATGTATATTCCATAAGACAGTGAAGCAACTTTACGAGATGTAGTCCTATGGTAGCTGGTGACCAATAGTAGGTTCATTTGTTCCCTCAATATCCTGGAGCCCGATGTGCACCAGTGGTTTGGAATCAGGGTTTCCCAACTCCCCAGGTGGACTCTCTTTGTTCACCAACCCGGTTAAAACGCCGGACATTTGATTTTCGTCCTCTCGACTTCGCGAACAACACTACTTCCACGAGGAGGCAGTGAGTAGGACTCCCCTGTCACTGGTTGTATATACGTGACCGTGTGAGAGCATTTCGAGAGGAAGAGCGGAATCTCCACACTCTCGGCCGTACCAGGACATTTGGGAGCCACTACCCAATCCGAAAACATTGTCCACTTTCGCCTACGCAACAAGAACTTAAGGTTAGGTGTTTGAATTTTTGTGACCAATTAACATCAGCTATAATGGAACAATCCTAAAATCATATCCTAATTCCTAACATAATAAGTCATTTGATGATTTTGCCAAATCGGTTAACACCCCAAGATCGTTTGGCTGTATACTCTGAACTTACCTTTAAAAGTTAAAAATACTGATTCTACCATAATATTCAATAGTTTCATCCTACCTATTGTTGATTTAATTCATTGTGTTGTGTCTTAGAACGCTAACCCATATCACCTGCTAAAGTCACTAATCAGAATTCTAATTTTGTCTATTCCAGGTCTACTACTTCTACTAAGGTCTAGTGTCTCAGAATTGCCTGATCAGCACTTCTGACTTTGATTCTACACAACTAAACTCCTACTGATCTGTTGCTCGCACGTTTTTCTTTATGGCCCTGTCTTGAGTTTAAAAAGTCATCAGCCAGCTGCTATTATTATATTTCAAACATATATGGGTTTATATGCAAACATACTGGACTGCATCCTCACCGTAATGCGAAAAAACAAAATCATACACAATAGTGGCTGCGAATAGTCGATTAGCAATAAAATAGGAATCATAAGCAGTGTAATCACAGTTAACAAGTTAAACAGAAGCTTATCTCGTTCCGCTTTAACACATTGATAACACTTGTCTCATTTTATTATTTAGTACCACTTGTTTAAAATAACTCCTACTATATCCCTCCCTCATATTATTTTGTAGTACTATACGGAATTAAAAAATCGTGTAATTAAAGAACTACCAGAAGAAAAACAAGAGTCTGCAACCAAACTCTTTGATAAATTAATGGAGGACGTTGAATGTAACTTGACTGTTAAGAATCGTGACACGTAAGTTTAGTGACAATATAAAAGTTTTACATTTGTCTTTCCAAATGAAATACTCCTTATTAGGTAACAAAACAGTCCCATTCGTTCATTTCGTGGATAGGCTCGCCATAGCACAGTTAATTGTTTCATTTTCAATTATTTAACCACTAAATATATGGCACAGTAAATAATTTTGTTATCGTATCCTTGATACAGAGTTTACAACAATATTTTGCCCTTGCCAGTCATCTGCAACGTAAAACTTGATACCCATATACATCGGTTTAAGTTGCTACACCTAATTAGCACGGACACGTAAAATTATTAGAACAAGTCCCAGAGTAGCATAAGTTGTAACAGTGTTAGTGATAATAGGAATCGAAGATACGATTCAAGAAAATATAAATTAGTAGAATACCGAAAATTTATGAGGAACTCGAAAGCGTAAAATCTGGAGGAAGACAAAGAGTGGATTCACCTATACTATTACAAACGATTTTGAGCCATGTTATTCATTCAATAACTGGTTACGCGGAATTCAACCAGGTAGTGTACACCTTTTTAAATGACTTAGTCCAACTCCATATGACTTCACGAACTGACGCCATATCACAGTTTAGCGACCTGTAACTTTCTTCCAACCTGCTCCTCCATTAGTCACCATCGCGCGTCGAAGTAATCGCTTGATGGGCGTTGGTATTACATGTCTTAGCCGTCTCAGACATAAGGATTAATTACCTCGCTAATCGACCGAGGTTGCCACACCAAACAATGTTCCTCCTTATGTTCAAAGTTGATAATTACTAGGAATAGACAGTTATCAGAGCCTAATTGCAGCAGATGGTCACCCTTGTTTGTTTGCTGATCCGCAACACCATAAGATCTGTCTAAGTACCTTTCGTTTGCGTTTAGCTTACATACATGAGCATTAAAACCACCTGCCACTATCACTGTACCAGAGGTTTTTGAAGGATTGGATAACTCCCGATAAAATTCATTTTCAACTTTGTCTGAGCTAGTCAGTGGGAGCGTATGCATAGACAACGGAAATGCGACGGTATGAGTCCACACATTGTAAAGTTTTTGCTGTCCAGTTTAGTATAGGAGCGCATGATCGACTATCTATTCTGATCAGCCTAACAATAGCTGTTATGCTTTTAAGATTAATGCCACCCTTACCCCAGTAGGATCTCCAGATACTCGGAAGTTAAATCGTACAAGTTCGTCATACTGACTAGGTGAGGTAAATGAATGACTACTTGGGTCCTGTTTGCGCGTTCCGAAGACAGCATACATCGATGGCGCGAGATTCTCGAGTCGTAGCTAAAGAAGCCAGTTGTCTTATCTGACACAAGGTTCGAAACGTAAAAGCTCCAACACGTAGTTTAGAGCTTGGTTTCAGAAAACCAAGAATAACATTTCGTGATCCTAAATCATCAGTACTGGTAGCGCGTGGTAATAAGGATGTGAGAAGGGTTAGTCGTGTGAATGAAATAATTATTAAGAGGTGAGTGTGAAGTTTGGTCGTCAATAAGATGGTCTCGTGTTTTGTTGGGTGTATGAGGGTGGTCGTCACTTCCCGGCTGCCCATACCGTGGAGAAACTTGTAAAGGTTAACCAGTGCTGATCATAGGGGCCTGCGAGCGTAACCACCAACTTAAAAGCACAATTACTTGACCTATCAACTATTCATAGTGAAGATCAATTGCCGCCCGAAGTGGCGACATATAACTTTTCCCCCCACATCCCAAATGCTGTTTCAAAACTTTTCGTGCTATCAAAGTTCGTTTTCATCGCTTGAGAATCCCGTGGTTCATTCATTAAAACCTCCCTATCTACTAGCTAAATATACACCATCGTTTTCTGATGAGTAAGCATATTTTGGAACTTTCTGACTAATCTTCGAAGCTAATAGCTAGTCTTTAGGCCTATTTGTATTACATATAAGTAACCATAATAACACTGAAAGGTCGGAGGTTTGAAATTCTTAACGATTCACTCTGTAACAAAATTTAATACAACAATAACACGGTTTCTATGATGACAAAATATGGGTTGGTCCCACCGGTTGAACTAGTTTAAGGTTTATGTGTTATCACAGATAAACTTTAAACTAGTTATCAGTGCTGAATTCATACACTTTTTATAGTAAAGATTAACAGTATATGCACGGTGTCAATCAACTCTATTAATTTTGATTTCAGGTTCACACAAAATTTATCTACCTTCAAGCATAGTTTGGGCGACTTCCTCAAAAAAACCAATATAAAACCTGACGATACATTTAGTCAAGCGGAAGGCAACAACTACGAAACATATGTTTGTTTAGGTAGTGCTATAGCACAAGCAGGCGAACAGTTGCTGAATGCATAGGAACTCAAGATAAACTATTTTGTACAATATTTTGTAATTATTTAAATAAAATTCTTCAGCGTCAAATGCAATCATTTGAACAATTGTAGCTACTTTGGTGCGATTTTTCTGAAATTAGTCTTTGCAATAGTTCTGGAATTCATCCAAAAACTTCAAATATAACTTGTGCTCTTCTGAAGTACAGAAGTTTTGCAATTCTTCTTGAAAGTCTGCGTCCAGTCCTCGTTCTACCAGCAATTGCATTGTATGATTATACATATCCTAAGATAAAAGAAAGGAGTCATTAGGCTAGTCAAAAGATGTTGAACAGTACTACTGAGAGTCACTTACGTCGTCAAATAAATCAGTATACACGAAATAGCCTGGGATGCGTTCAATTTCAACTGAATCCACGGAATAAGTAGCTGTAAAGGGAAGAAATGTATTAGACTATAAAGCGAAAGATTATTTTCAAGACGTTTACCTAGAGTTTTCAAAAACCACCTCTGTTTCACGTAGACAATCTATGGATACCGTAAGTCTGTCAGTCAGTCAGTAACAACGTAAAACTTTGTACGTACGTACATCAGTTCGAGTTGCCATACCACCTTAGCACAGAGACACAACTGTCGATTCAATCCCGTAGTGGTAGAAGTAGTACGATTATAAGCAGTAATCGGAAACATTAGGGTTTGGAGATGTTATTTAAAGAGTATAATCCAGCGAAATAAATTTGGGAAGAGACAAGGAGGAATCAGAAGATCAAAATTTGGGAGAACACAAAGAGTGGATGCACCTGAGCCATTGCAAACGATTTTGAGCCATGTCATTCAGGGTCTCTAACCATCGGTTGCTATCATCTCGCGGTCCCCAACCAGTCATACGTAACACGTGTCCCAGCCATCTCAACTGATCAAGTTTCATCAGTTTATCAATTGGTTCACCACCCTTACCTAGTGCCTGTTTCCTAACAACCGCGTTACTTACTCGACGGTCCCAGGATATACGAGCAATGTTTCGAAGACACCTATGATCGAATACTAGTAGCCTATGAATATCCTCTACTCTTACCGGCCATGTTTCACTGTCATAAAGTAGGATGGAACAAACTGCTGCGCAGTAAACACGTCCTTTGGTTGATAGACGGATATCTCGCCTACGCCATAAATGACGCAAGTTGGCAAAAGCTAGTCGAGCCTTTTGTATCCGTGCTGAGATTTCGTCACACACCAGACCACAAGGGCTGACGAGACTTCCAAGATAAGTGAAGCGGTCGGCACGCTCGACTACTTCACTCGCTATCATTAGTTCGAGTGTCGATGCAACCCAATCCTGAAGCAACATTTTGCATTTCGAGGGAGAGAATCGCATTTCGAACATGCTTGCATTGTTACTTAGAGTTGTCAGAACTCCCTGCTGGTCAGATCATACTAAAATGAGGAGGGTAACCTTGTTGTCAGTTTCTGACAAGCTCATTTACCCAGAAAGTCAGTCAGCTGTACCGGTGTGGTGTGGGTATGACGTGAACTCAGGAGGGGTCAAGTACTTTGTTCTTTCAAATATCACTAGATGTAGACTAAAACAAGCTATTTCAAGTGTGCTGAGCGTTATGCATATAACTAGACAACTCATCTAAAACACAACCTTATGAACACTGGATTTCCCAAGTGTCTAACGAAATTAATAGCGAGATAAAGGTCCGACTACCTACAAAAACTGCTAGATACGTTTAAGCTCAGTTTTCTCAACATATTTACAGCTAACACAAGCTAGCTACCTTCTCTTATGAAGCTTATTACAGGCCCAGGTAAACGAAGATTCACGGACTAGATTACAGAACAGAATCTCACCTTGCAACCACTGCTGTTTAAACCGCTACACTAAGAAGTTTTTATGGCATAAACCTTGTAACTTGTTAGATTTTATACTAAAATTTACCAAACGCTGACTACACAAGAAAACACTTACGGAGATCATTCGACTCATCTTCAGAAAGTTGTTTTTCAGTGTCATGGCCCGGAAGACTGCAGTTGAAAACCAGACTTCGACCACTAGGTTTTGTGAGTTTAATACGCAAATCAGGATGAGCCTCCAAAGCGGTATCATCCTCACTCTTTTCCGTAGTACTCATTTCATCTTCAGAAATACTAGGCGTAACACTACCAGCCAAATTAATCTCCACGTCGACGAAACTAAATCTAATATATTTAAGATAAATATTGTTTACACTCCATCTTGATATTCTTTGCGTATAACGACTTCACATCCATTGGTTTTTACTACTTTAAACCCTTTAGGGGGATCGCAGAAGAAAGCATTTGCCTTTTCTTGTTTAATCTCATTGGTCAGAAACTGGTTGAGCTGACGGTCAACTAGACTACATTCGTATAGACAACCGAAAATCTTACCTTGAGATGAACAGAACCAAGTTGAAGTAGTAAGATGTTTAATAGTACTTGGTTTACTTAAGATCTGGATTCCTTTACGTGCGAACGTTAAACGAGCACCAAACAAAACACGAGAAACAAGCCTAGACATCTCACGCCGAAATTGGAAGCTTAACTAAGACCCTTAACCCCAATTCACTAAAACATTCTCACAGGTTCCACTTTTCAACATTCAATTATTTTCAGTTTCTAGAGGGAAAAGGGCTTGGAAAGACTGCTTTTGTCCTGAATATAGAGTTCTCTCTGTTGATTCAAGTTTCTTTTAAGTGTGTTCGCAGATGGATCTTCAACCACTTCAGTAATAATGATAGGACATATGGTCTGTCCACTAATATCAATCCTTGCATTTTTTAACACTGGTGTCCAATCTCGTTTTGAATATATCAACGAAAGTTGCTGGTATTACGCGTTTTGATAGCGAATTACAGTAATTGACTACTTGGTGCGAGAAATGAAACTGCAGATGTAGACGATTTGATCTTGTTTTTTAGCTTGCTTCTCAAATGATGAGTCCTAGACGAAGGAAAAGATAAGACATATTAGTGCCAAAGTCATCGTTCAATATAGTATTCTATGGTAAGATAACAAAAATAAATTGAGGTGTCTCAGTCTGTCTACATAAGATAGGCAGATAGACCTTTTACCATCTTAGTACCTTGTCATTGGACTCTTTCCAGCATATCTGTTTCATACTCGAAACAAGAACTCGCTGCTTGAATCCCATATTCCAAATGTAATTGCACGTAAATCGGGTACAATAATTTAAACATTTCGTCATTTAAATACTGGTAAGACCTACAAATACACCCTAACACCCTATAGACTTTTGTAGCAGCAACAGCCTTACAGTGACTGGTGGTTTTGAGATCACTGCTTAATATTACTCCTAAATCTTTATAGTTTCTTACTTTGGGTAACACGAATCCACATATTGTGTAGTGATACGAATCATCATGATTATTTAATTGCATCACTACACTATCATTAGGATTCCTTCTAGTGACCATCTGTCCAACCATGCCACCAATGAGCTAGGATCATCCCGTTATATTATTCTACTTGACTTACTGTGAAAAGGTCTCCAAATATTTATGTCATCGGCGAGAATTATAGCGGATGACTTTGCTACAGTTGATAATTCATCTACATAAAGTAAAAAGAGAAGAGGACCGAGGGTTGTACTTTGGGGAACGCCACTTTTTCCAAGAACTAACAAGGAGAGAGCTCCATTAACCGTTACGTTTTGTCTCCTGTCATGAATAAAGTGACTTATCCTGTAGTGACTCACGTTTATCACGAGAACACGACTGGTTTAATAAAAACAATTATTATTATAACCAACTGTACCAGTGTTTGTTTTAACGTGCTTTTGTTTGACTGTGCTAATGACAGCTTTTGGTGCTTCCACTCCTTTACTTACACTTTGATTGTATCTTCGCGTGAATTCGGTTACGTTCTGTAACCAAGCTTGTATCCTGGCACGATCTCGGTATCCTTTCGATGCCACGAGATCGCCAGCTAATAAACCTCGACTTGGTCCATTAATTGCCTTCTGGTATTCGGCTTCTCGGGGATTTTATGGATTTATTTGGTTACGTCCAACCTTCGCCTTCTGATTTATTTGGCACGTGTTTATTGGTAGCGGTGTTCATAGTTTACCTCAACTCGACGCCACGCTACAATTGGTGATCCCAAAGTTTGGAACACGCCTCAACCTCGGGTCAAATCTTCCAAAGAAGTCAATTTGGTGAGTCTATTATTTATCTATCCACGTCTGTCGTATATTTTCATATTAATTTTTAATATATAATATACACGACATGACGGATAACGATAAGAATACTATTAATGTTATAGACTCAGACGTACAGGCCATTCATTTTCGACCTGTATCATTTATCCCCCACGACCCTGAGGTCTGGTTTGCTGCTTTAGAGTCTCAGTTCGAGACTCGTCGCATCACGAGCCAAAGGCAAAAATACGCCTACGCTCTCGAGTCATTACCCGGGGACCATTTAGTAGCTGTTCGTGAGGTTGTCCTCAATTCTAACGTGCCTAATGTTTATGACCGCCTCAAGGAGGCAATTCTCCGACATTTCCTCCCATCGAGGGAGGAACGATTGAGGACCCTGTTAGCACGTCACCCCCTGGGTGACGCTAAACCAAGCCATCACCTCACGCGCCTGCAATCTCTTGCAGGACCAACAGCATCAGACTCGGAGATAGTCAAGGAATTATGGCTCGAGTCACTACCAGCCCATATCCAACCTACTGTGACGGCACTGCTCGAGGACTCACCGCTTAACCAGGTAGCCCTCATAGCAGACAAAATTTTGGCGAGGACTAGTAATAGAGACACCTATGTAGTCGCTTCGACGGCACGTCCTAATGTAGACATGGACGCCGGTCATTCCACAGCTCATGGTGACAGGGCCGGGTGTATTCACACACGTCTTAGTTTTCGAGATCGCTGTAACGTACCCCAACCCTACGTCCCCCGGCTCGCTCAAGTTCTCTCAAGTTCTTCACCACTCGCCCAAAAAGGGCATCTTCCAGGCCACGCCGAAAGGCGGC